ATATATATATATGAATTGAGTTAGGGAAAAAACAAAGAGACTACGATACATATATATACAGCGTGATATGAATTGAGTTAGGGAAACAATAAAGAGACTACGATACATATATATCTCTACGTACAGTTCTGTGAGATTTCCGAGATTAGAAAACAGGTTAGACGGCAGGTTACCCAGACTATTCTTGATCAATTGTCTGTAAAATACAGAAAAATAACCACGGGAATGAAATAAACTTAAATGCATATATTCTTTAAGTGAGTCTTTTCAGTAACCTATAGTAGCTTCTAAATAAGTAAGAAACCCTTCGTGAGTCCGAACCTGCTAGTCATAGCATGTTGTTGTTGTTTTTTTTTAACATACCTCCATCAGCATGATGGATGATTGAATAATCTGGCTAAATGGTTTTAATTCATTAGAAACATTTTTAATGATCAGTTCTGTATGAGTAAGTAAGTACGGCTAGTCAATTCCGAACATGCTGTCTTGTCCTGTTCAGCTGTCAATGGGTCTTTCGATACACAGGATTAAGTATGATATCTATACAGAGGAATGTGCAGTGAAATTGTAAGCTATTTGCTTCTAAGGATAGAAAAACAAAAGATTATCTATAGCTGTTGTTCTTCTTTGCGTTCCGATGGTAGGAGATTCGTATCTACATAACCATCTCATATAAGATATTTTACATTTCTGAAGTTATTAACGTTTACGAAGCCAAAACATTAAGCACGAAGACGCAAAAATGATAAAGTCTTTTACCATATAATGCATAATTTTATATTTCCTATTCAAAGAATTCCGTCTTCTTGGTTGGTATTTAATTAATCGTTTAGCAATGCATCCTGTTCTATATTCAGCATAATTTTTCTTTTAGACAGACAGATATATTAATGTAACTGTACATAAAGATATACGAGTCTTCCTCAAGGAAAGATTTAGAATTGCCCCTGTTTCTGATTTTATCCAGCCTTGTGAATAACCGCATTATTCATAGAGCTAAAGAGTGCTACCCACAATTTCTGCAGCCGAGTCAGTTTTTCAAAAATGTTTGGTGGTAGTTCTTTTAACTGATTGCCCTTTAACCACATTTGATAAAGGATGTCGATGGCAGGTTAGTAATAACAATGACATAAATTATTGAAACTCGTGAAATCTACCATATTTACATTTTCTCTCAGTATCATCATTTTTTCCTTGCTGATTTGCACGAAGCATATTTTGCTGTAACAGGACAACGTTTCCTTCTATTGGCAAGCACTTTACATGTTTTATCCTTCCCTATGATCTGCTCACCCACTGTTTTCTAATGGTACTGTACTTTCTTTCCGCATAGCACGTTGGTGATGTCGATCTCACAGTCGTGTTTCTACCTCATTTATGCACAGCTCATACAAGGTAATTCAATGTAGACGTAAGAGCATTTATGACGATTACAATGAATAAAGGGAAATACATTTTTGAATTAATTATGTACTTAATTTATTTCATTGCACTGTCCATATTACACTGCTAAGAAAATAATTATGATATTACGCGAACTCTGATCTGCTAACTCGATAATTATGTGGATCAACCTTATTTGGCTCGTGATAACAAAACCGAAGAAAATAAACAAAACAAAACAAAAATGAAAAATACTTGTTTTCACAATATCCTGCGTAGGTTATTAAGCCAGTAAACTGATTGAACAAACAGTCTACTGCTAAATTGAGTTTTCAACCGCCGAAAAAATTGAAAACGTTGAACCTTACCCTTCACCTAATTTTTAGAGACAAGAGAAGAAAAGACGAGCGCTTTGCTTCGGTAATTGGTTTCTTAGATGCTGATTACTATGCTTTAAGTGGTAGCGTTCCAAGTGGAGTGAACAAGAAACATGGTTTTGAAGACACAGTTGAAAAAAAATTGCCACCCTTTGTGATTGATCTCGTAAACTATCCCTTCAAAGTAATAAATAGCAATCCATTGCCCACGGGGTTGCACAGGATGACGATCGAAGAATAAGTAACTATAAACAAGTACGATTTATTTCAATAAGTTGTGATCACATTCATTTACGAGAGTGAAGAGCCCACTAAAAGTTGCCTCGCTCCCAACACTTAGACTGATCAGCATAGTCACTTTAATACTGAGAAATGATGTAATAACTTTGCATCTTTCTTTTGAGAAAACCTCGGCCGAGGAGAGTCTCCTCTCCACGTCAACTTTGTTAATTCCACTTACTCGATGTTAATAATGGATAAGCTTTGTGGAAGTACAACGCATCGATAAAACACGACTTGCCATAATCAAAACCAGTGGCCTCGGGTCTCGTAACTCCACAATTTATTTTCTAAATTATTTTGTAAATAAACCCCTTCAGGCGGCTAATTAAGTCCACGGCTGAGATATTGACCGAAAAATGAATATCCGGCCGAGAAGCGAAGCTTCCAGGGAAAACTTAAGATTTTGAGGACAATCTCTCATCCAAGGACATTATCAGCCAACATTTAGAAACGCGGAAAGAATCCCCAGGTGACGCTAAGAACTCTCCGCAGATATTTTTGACTTTTCAGTGATTTTAATTCAATTTTCCTCGAATATTTTCTTACTTTGAAACTCATTTTTTTATACGACTAAGTTGTCCGATCGCTGGGTGCTATCGATTTCTTTTCCTGCATTTTTAATCACATCGGTAAGGATCTCTTAATCAAATTTCATGTTTCATATATTAAAATTTATTGTTCAAATTGGAGAAAATGAGGTATCACCCGATAGGAAAGTACACGTCGCTTTAGTTAACTTAGTGTGATTGTAATGACATGATACTTGGGGACTATAAATATTATGTAAGGTTTTCCATACATTCCGCCTGTTTGTATTCTCTTACGTCGCAACTATATTTGGGCAAAACTTCTTTTATATCACAAAGAGCCCGTAATGTAACCACATCATAACATAATCTGCAAAGCTGGATCATGGTTAATATAGCATCATACTGCTATCACGATCACGATTTTTAAGTTAAAATAGACATTTGCGTTCATGATTTCTGTAAGTACTTAAGAGCGACGGTCAGGAAATATCGACCATTGAGTGGCAAGAGTTGAAAAATGAAATTCGCTTATTTTCTGACCAAAAAAAGCTACTAAGAATAGAAGAAATTTAATGTATTTCTTTTTCTTCCGGAGCGCTTTAATTCTGAGAAAACTGAGAAAAACGAATTTGACCCGCGACGATCCCGAAAGGTCCCGCAAGCAAGTGTGAAATTGATATTTTAAACTGACTTTTGGTCTTCAAGGAAAAACGATTCAAAGGATCATGACACCGAATTTTGATAGAGTGAGTGCCGTACTTTCCCAGAAACTATATGACTTATCTTTATTGTTGTTCATAAATAGCAAACAACGCGCAGGAAAGTGCTGTATTTTCAAACGTGAAAAATCTCGCAAATACCTCCTTAATTCAAATATTTTTTTCACTATGTAACATAATTCAGATTTTCCTTTTAACTATGTCATTAGAGGGATTTAAGGTTGTCCTTGATAATATGTTAGAATCAGCATGGGGTTTCTTTACAGCGCCTCACGCGAAGGTTTTGAGATGACAGTAATTCATTCAAATTTTTTACAACGGCTGAGTAAACAATTCTTGTTGCGTGACCGTAACGTCAAGCGGAGTTTTTACACAGCGAAAGCGTACTGAAAACGATTCTGGTGTGAGCTTTTGGTCCTTTTTTATTGAAAAAAAGGTAATCGGCCAAAGAGAGGTTATTTTTTCTCATTGTTAAGGTGGAAGTTTTCCTTTTCAGTGTAAGATGTTTTCCCTGATAAATATCAGGATGTAATTTGATTAGCTCTCGGCTAACCTGTTTAACTTTTATACTTGTTTTTTTCGCTTCCTTTGGTTTCAGAAGAATCGGAACAGAAAGACAAAAATCATAGATACTTTTTAAATTGATATTTTCTTCAATTGTGAGGATTCATTTTCATTATTTGTTGAAGAAATGACAGAGTTGGCTAAAGCTCGAAGCAGTTTACTAGCCGTAGTAAATTGAATTAGTCAATTAAATGCAAAGAGGGAAAATTTAATTAGCGAAGTTGGAGTGAATTTGTTTTGCCAGTTTTGTGTCATCATGGACGTTAAGTGCTCTTTTAGCTCCTTAGTCGGCGGTTCTTGCTCTTATGACCCCAGAGATAGGAGCAGATCAACTGAGGTTATTCCATTTCTGAACTGCAAAAGAGACATCGCGGGTCATAAGTCTTCCTTGTCAATAACTGACGTAGAAACCGAAATCGAACTTATTTTGGGAAGAGTATCTACATCCTTTTCTTCGGAGTTAGACCTTTCGGAATTAACGATTTGTCCCCGGCACCGCTCATCCCTTGGTATTGGGTGGCGTCGAGGATCGAATCTGTGCCGAGTTCCTCCACCAATCTCGAAGCACGGCGGACAAGCCCCAAAAAACGTAAAGGCAGAAAGAGGACTTGGCAAAAGTGCTTGTTATTTGATATGGAAGAAACTGGGAATTTTTATTCCAGTTGGTTCAGGTCGCTTTTGCTCTAAAGGAATCTTCTAGTAAAAGAAGAACAGTGATTCTGTTGAAATAAAGTGTCCAAATTTCTCCGTGCGACTTTGTTTGCGAACGAGAGGCAAGTTGATGTATGCAAATTTCACGTAAATGATTAGCCAATTTTGTGACTCCGACCACAAAAACCGATATTCTAATTTTTCTAAAAAATAAAAAGCTTTTGGTGGGAACAATTCACATCAGGTATCTTATCTACCTAAAAGCTATTTATGGACAAAAAACCAAAGAAAGCGATTTTTCAACTCTTGCCACGAAATTAAGATTTTGGTCGATATTTCCTGACCGTCGCTCTTAATCTCTTAACACTAATGAACACGCATGTAACAAGTAAAGACGCTTACTCTCGTTCATCTATCAATTAATCAGATGATATCTACTTACAATCTAGTTAAGCTGGTCAGGTTGTCAAATATTCCCTCTGGCAACGTTTGGAGCTCGTTGTCCGAGACGGCACTATAGTTGGGTTGAAAAGAAGAAAAAAATCAGAAGTCCAGATTAAAGCAGTCTATTCTCTCTTCAATATTAGGTAGACCAGCTTCTTCTTCGTCGTGATCGATTCTAAAAGCTGCAGCTATTCATTCATTGCCCGCATGTTAAGTTACGACTAACGTTCTTGCTTCTACTCATTATTCCAATACTTATTTCATCGATTACTCTGTTGGTTATTGTCAGGCTTGAAGAACAGGTAAGCACGAACAAGTACAATTTATTTGAATTAATTGCCATCAGATTCCCTTACGATAATGGCGAGCTCACTAAAATTTGCCACGCTCTCGACTCTTACTGTCTCACGGTTGGTAGTAGCGACCAAGCACTATTCGGTAGCACGAGTTTGATTCCAGTCGCTGCAATAATATTTGTCAAGTCTTCTTTTTTAAAATTTCTATAGACGCACGGTCAACTTGCAAGGATCCTGCCGTCAGTTATTTATCATCCATTGGTCAAAGTTTAATCATTTTCATTTAATTGTAAGCAATTAATAGACCGCTCAGTTAATTCAGTCCTACATAAGGCTAAAAAAGCAACCGACATGTTACTTTTCTTTGATGACACTGATCAGCACTCGCTCAAAGGATAAAAAATATGTTTACTATACAATACTTAATAATTTTTGATAAGGTTAAAATTTAAAATGCTTATGTTATGAGAGAGAAACAACAAAAACGCCATACGAAACGTATCTGTTGATCAATGTGGCAGCTTGTTTAACTAAAATGTTTACGTCCTTCAAATTTCACTTTTTAGAGTGTGTTGTTAATGAAATTGTTCGCGTTGCCTCTCTCTGACTTTCCCTGCCAGGTGTGTTCTGAACAAAGTTTTGTTTTGAAGAATTATTTCTGAGGAGTCGTAACTCTTTGGCTCTAGCGAAGCCTTTGTTAGCTCCCGTTGGGTGACACGTTGCGTAGAAAGTGAACTAGAATGTCTCTGTTGGTTTGAAGTAGGTCCTTATATCGAGAACTGACTCTGTTGAATCTTTCACCCTTATAGACAGTTGTGTCTAAGAAATTAGCTTCTGATGTTTAAGCCGTTTTGATTGTTGTTTGGTGTTTATTAACTTGGTCAATGAACTGGTTGATGACATTGTCAATCGCGAACATTAAGACCCGCCAAAATGGTAAGGTAAGTTAAGCGAATTCCAAGCCAAATCATTATCAAAAATAGTTCAAGATCAACAACGTCTGACAAAATCTTTAGAGAATCTTTCACATGAATTTAATACTGCAATCAAGGACAATTTAGGATTGGTCCTGTTCCGGATTTTAAGCAGCCAGAGAGTGCTACTCACAAGTTTTTCAGCCGAGTCAATTCATCAAGAAGTTTTGGTGGTAGTTCTTTTAACTGATTCTCATGTAACCACCTGTAATAAAGGATGTCGATGGTAGGTTAGTAATAACAATGACACTAATTCTAATTATGGTAATTTATGAAATCAAGCATACCGACGTTTATTTCCTATTCATTTATTTTGTTTTCCTTACTGCTTTCCATTGAGCATAATTGCTAACAGGGAAACAGGGAAACGTTTCACACAATTGAAAGACACTCGACGATTTTTTTTTCCTTTACTTTATTCCGCTCACCCAGTGTTTTCTAATGAACTTAACAGTCAAATCAGTAAATATCAACAGCGAAAGCACTCTGATGGTGCATTTACATAGATTCGGTCACTCTTTTTTCGAATAAAAGTCGCTGTGACACAAATTTTAACGATCGATTTCCATAATTTACAAAAAAAAAGAAAAAAAACATAACCACTCACAAAAGTTCCAAGGACATTAAGGTCTTGAATATTCCCGGATGAAGGCTGCGTAGATTGTTGTTGTAAAGATACCTGTGATTTGATTTGAACAATGGTCAGACTTCTTTTCAAAAACGCAAACAGCCACCTTTGTTATCTGTTAGGAAGCAGTGTAAAACAAACTCGCTTTCTTTATGTCCTCAGCGCAATCAGAGTTTAAAAACTCAACGACTGAGTAGCATTAGAGGTGCAGCTTTATATGAGCTGCTCATTCAGAACTTAGAAAAGAATCATTAAATAACGCCAAGGGTTTGTTGCAATATCGTTTAGTTGCCGTATCGTATACAAAACCTAGCTTTCTTTACGTGGTCTTTGTAATTGTGAAGATTCTAGAGGTTGCGGCTTACTCAAACCCTTAACAACTACAGGGGTGGCGCGGTGCGAGGTGACAATAATTCAAACTCCACTTGGTAGATTTAAACTGATTTAATGACAGATCAAAAGTGTAGCGATAAGTTTGGTTTAAAAAGCCTATTTATTACTTCAACATAAACCGAGCTGTTACATGTTCAAAAGACCGAAGAAATAACTGACTACATTCCGAATGCGCATATCGTTATATAATCATGAGTGGCGCGCTCATAGTGATGAGTTCAACTGCTAGTACCTATGATCGCCGCTTCTATATAGTATTTCACAGTATTTCGTCACAAAAAGTTAAAAGGTTTAGATCAATCGGTTACGTTTGACAGAAGGGTCATGAAGATAGCGAAGATCGAAGGTAGTTGACCTTGGAAGCAGCAGCAGTAGAAAAAACAGTAGTAGCTGTAGGTGCAGATTAAGTTGTAGAAATGGATAGACGTGATAATTCTCGTGTCATATAAATTATAATCAAACGAAGGTACAAACAACAGTATATTACTATAAACAAAAATAACTAAATGAGAATAAAAGAGTAACGATTTAAAAAGAAACCAAAACAATTTGTAAATAAGATCGTTTTGCTATAATACTGTAATAATGACACTTAGTTGACTAAACGAGACGTTCTATGACCGAAAAAAAAAAGGCTGATGATTCTATGACTTAATTAAAACAAAGAAAATACTGACGCACTTTGGTTGACGACTCGTACCGAAAAAAAAGCAAAGACAATTGATATAGCGGTAGCTTGGATCCTACTGATCGTAACAAAGGTAACGGTGTGGCTTCAACCAACTTATAGGTTATGATACGTGAAGAAAGCTATGGCGTCGCAAAAAGTAGCGCCCTCAATAAGAACTACTTCCTGGGCAGCAAAGACTCCAAAGTTGTGATACAATTCTAGGTAATCTCCATTTCTACCGACGCCTTCATTTTAGATCACGTAATGGACTACACAATAATTGAATATAAATCAAAAGGAAGTTTGTAGGAAATTAGTAAAAACAAACAGCGTTTCAAAACTAACAGTCTTATGTATCCATCGTAATCAGAGTTTGCATACTCAACGACTGAGTAGCATTCCAAATGCAGCTTATTGGCAGCACATTCGGAACTCAAAAAAGAATACTCCTGTAACGCTAAGGGTTTGCTGCAATATCGTTTATCCGTCAAACTGGCCCTCAGGTCGACCCAGCGTTGGAATGAAAAAAGTTTTGTTTTTGTTTCTTTTTTTTTTGACTCGGGTAGAAAAACATGGAAGACGAAACGTTAGTACTGTTAGACAACATTTTTATTTAAATCTACACTCTCGGTCGTCTCAGTGACTAGTGCATAGTGAGGACTGTGCTGTGGCATTTAATTGCTTGCTTTGACTCGGGTAGAAACACATGGAAGACGAAACGTTAGTACTGTTAGACAACATTTTTATTTAAATCACAACTGTAATGAAGTTGGCAAACGTAATTCAACGTACAATTGTTGAAGATTGCTGAGGTTGGCAAGCAAGTCAGATGGTAGCTCCTCCAAATGGTTATCACTCAGGTCTCTGTAAAATGCAATGGCATTTACAAATAACGTGTACAAGGGGAAATATCCGTGATCAACTCTGACTTTATTATTCTCAGGTGATTAGCGTTTACAAGAAGACTGAAAAACTCATTACATAGTTACAAGAATGTATAAAGAGACTGAAGAGAAAATTTCCTCTATCATGGTGATGGACGATTTTCTCTTAAAGAAGCAATTGAATTATCCATTCATCTTTGCTTCTTGGTATATTTGGCAGCTGGTTGATTAGCTATTTAATGCTTTTATTTTTTCTTTTTTTTTGTCTATTATTTGAATTTATTTGACTTGAATGATTACATGTAATATACGCACAAGATTGTCGTTGTAGCTGGTACTTTCCATGGAAATGATTTAAGTTGTTTTCCACTGCAGTTAACTTCCACTGACTTGCATTCACAGGGTTCTGGACAATCAATTGTAGTATTTGATGCCAAATAATTGCTTCTTACGGTTTCAACAGCTGTTCAGTTAAATTTACATACGTGATAAGTATTTCCAAAATAAGAAACAAAACTACGTACTGATGACTGATGATTACTAAATATATTTGGTAGAGAGGGCTAAATTATTCGCCAATAGTATTTACGAGAAGTGAAATGTCATCGCTTACCCAATAAAAAAATAAACACGAACATGGTTTTCTTTGTGACAGACATGACGCGAGAATCACCTGAAAGCACAATAGACAAGATCAGCGCTTAAGATCGAGGCAAACAGGCATGGCAAAGAAATCTATGTGGAACGCATTTTCAGTCTTGTGGTCAAAGGGGAAATAAACTAAGGCGAGCTTGGAAAAATTTGAAGAGCTGAATATAACGAAATCTTGAAAAAGCAACTATAGGCGTACACTAAGGGACCAGTCTTTATTTATCAACGGTAGGGGAAATGAAGGGGGAATCAGTCGTCGCCAACAGAGTATAAAAATAGAACTGTAGAAAATTGACAGCCGATTGACTTTTAATGAGGGGGACTCATGCAAATATGAAAATGACTATTTATCGCCGAGGGGGGCCGGGGAGGGGGGAGGGGGGAGGCAGAGGATTTGGTGGACCACGTAGGGGTGAACAGAAACGGAGGGGGATCAGTCGTCGCTAACAGAGATTAAAAATAGAACTGTAGAAAATTGACAGACGATTAATTTTTAATGAGGGGCACTCATGCAAATATGAAAATGACTACTTATCGCCGAGAGGGTGGGGGGGCGGGGGGAGCGATTATCTGAGGAAATCACGTGGTGTTCAGCAGAAGCGGAGGGGGGGGGGGTAAGTATCGCCGACAGAGTATAAAGATAGAACTGAAGAAAATTGACAGCCGATTAAGTGCGAATGAATGGGGATCATAAGAATATGACAATGACAATGAGCTTTATTGCTGAAGTCCGTCATCAGTCGTGCCTGGTCTGAGACAAGCTCAAAGAAAAGCATTTGAAGCCTTTTGAAGCAGTCAGTGTTGACGTTACACTAAGACCTGCGATTCAAACGCACTATAAAAGCATATATATATATATTTTTTACCAATTGTTTTGAACTATTTAATGTACTACTTGCAATTCACAAATGGATGGATTCAATTATTTACCTGAACTACCCCATCGAGTCTCTGGTGTCTTGTAAGCCACAATATTGCACCGTTAAAGACAGAATTGCTAAAATAACGTTATTTGAATACGTTTGCAATAAACTGCATGAAAACGTGGATTTGCATGCATAATTACCGATAATTATGTGGTGGACGATACATAATTAATATCCCGGGGAACTGAAATTGTTTTGAAACTTCCAAACTTTTCAGGAATTCATCTTTCTTTAAAAAACTGAACTGTTCATTTGACTTCTTGTCTCTACTTATGGCAAATATTTGCGTTTTTTCATCTCTTTTTCGTACAATATGTTCAGTGCCTGTCTAAACATGACGTTATTGTCATTGTTGGTTATTTAAAAACTAGCGATCTTTATCAATTAAAGAAAATTCAAATGAAACACGTAGGATGAAATATTTTTAATTCACAAAGAAATTGTGACTGGTAATACGACTGAAGCTGAGGAATACCATTCATTCAGAAATAGATATTAGTAAAGGATGTATTTCCGAGGAAGTGAAAAGAGTGCGCATGCCCACAAGAAGCTAAAGCTTGGCACGTGGCGTTTCGATACATAAATTTCTCACCAACACAGATTTTTCTATGCTGCCGCATTTAACAAACCAGATCTCACAGACCGCCCAAAACTAATGTGGGGTTTTGTTTAAAAATACATATTTATGTCCTGATGCTTTGCCGTAGGTGAACTTTCCATTGCAAATCTAGCTCTTTTTAAATTATTTAGGCTAAAAGGTGAATTTCACATACAGTTCATGTTTCTTTTCATGTTTCGTGTAACAGTCATATCATGTAATATCTAAATTTTTCAAACTTCTCAGATTGAGCCTGGGCTGCTTGTTGTGTCAAACTTACCAAATACGTCAACATGTTCAGATCTTTTTAGAAGAATAAGACAACCATCAGCCTTGCATGTTACGATTTATGTACTTTTATTCATGGACGGGGAGCTGTTTATAACCGTTTTCCTTAGGCACTCGGGTGAATCATACACGAGGGCCAGATGACAGCTCTTTATAATAAACTAGCACAAACATATTTCATGCATCAAGTAATAATACGAACTATCACTGGATCAAACACAATTCTTACCCTGATTCTACTAGTTTGATCAAAATGAAGGATCGATTTCTGTCGCTTGGCCGTGGAAGGTCTGTGTACGAGACTAATTCTGCCCTCGCCTCCACCCCTCCCCCACCTTAGCCATTGAAGAAGTCCGATATTTTTATTATTTTGAAGATTTAACTGAATTCTTTTCGAATGTCATTTATTGCGGAGTAGGTGGACGCCACACCACCAAAAATTCCAACAGCTATGAGTTCATACAAGAAAACCTTGATATGAAGAGGAATATTACGTTCAATTCTCAAATAAAACAAACAGGGAAATACAAAGGTCAATGCAGTTATTGTGGATCCTCCAATAAGAGACAGAATGGGACCAAACTTTGGGATGAGTTCGCCAATGCCAAGAATAAAACACATGATGGCGGTGCGAAGGAGGCACCGTTTGACACTAAATCCTGTTGGAAAAGAAGACCGAAAAATGACTTAAGTTAGCGTAGGTGTCTAACATTAAAACGCTGTGTAGGTGGGGGGTTTTTATGAAAGCAAGACTCCGATAAGGAAAACAGTTTTACACGAAAGAAGAAAGAAAAAAAAAGCTCGTATTTCGCGCTTGGATATACAAGCGTAGCTGTGAACCCTAGAGCTATCTTGATCACATTCCTTGTAAAATATTAGATTCTATGTTGTTTTACGGAATAGCTAGACGTTCATCGCAACCCTTGCTTCCGGCTGAATTTGTGAGATTAACCCTGGGTGTATTTAAACCAACCTTGAGGTATGCTCAAAAAATCCTCAAAAGACTGTGATACTGGGTTTATCACAATAACAAAGCTGAACAGCAGGTGAAGTGTGATCAGTACAAGCACTATGTCTAACATAACAGCAGCCGCGTCATGTCCTTCGTATTTCACGCTCTCGAGAATGTTCGATGTGATGTTCTTGCCGTAAGCCACAAAACCGAGGATTGAGACAGGCAGATACATGCTTACGACACCAACATACGCCCAGAACACAGAAATTGGAAACTTGGAGCATTTTTTCATGTCTGTCTGAATCGTTGGAAAGGTTGAAGCGCCACCAAATGAAAATAATATAGTTCCGAAAGCTAAAAGAAAAGGAGAAATTAAAAGAACTCAGCAGCATTGAGGAATGAATATAAGGTTCACTTTAGATAAAACCTACCATCCCCATTTTTCCTGCGAAATTTTAGCCACGCAGTGGATAGCTCTTACTGACGATTGAAATGTTAACGTTTCGCAGCACATTCTAGTAAAAAAGTCATGTCATTTTTTATTACACTGGATAACCTGGTAAGTCGACTTGACCACACCGAGACCTTTGCCACTCATGTAACAAATAGATCCCATGTTAACGTGCCTCTGTTCAGGATTATACAATAAGCTCAGTTATGCACGCATTCTGATTGGTTCTCACTTATGATCTATTGGAGGACAGACGTATAGATGACGTCATCATTAAAACTTTTTTCCGTATATTTTAATTCTTTATTATATAAAACAATTAGATTCCAAGTTGCCGTGCGTCTGTTCAGTAATAGATCACAGAGGACGTCAAAGTGTGGTAAGAACATCAGTTACACACGAGGCGCAGCCGAGTGTGCCACATTTTTGTTCTTACCACATTTTGACGTCCTCTGTGATCTATTAGTGTACAGGCGCACGGCAACTTGGAATCTATTTGTTAAATAGATCACAGATGGAGACAAAACGTGGTAAGAAAAACAAAAGAGCACATGAAGCGCAGCCGGTTGTTTTACTGATGTTTTTACCACATTTTGATGTCTTCTGTGATCTATTACTGTACAGACCCACAGCAACGTAGAACCGATTTGTCTAATTATAGAGATGACGAAAGGTTGTTAATGGTGACGTCATCTATGCGTTTGTCTTCCAACAGAACATAAGTAGTACCACTCAAATGCTTGTATAATTCAACTTATCATATAATTTTATATAAGTAGCATGTATAATTAAATATGATCATCCACTTAGGAATACACACCTGAAAAGAAACTCTCGAAGCTTACAGTAGGTTGTTCAACGGTATTCAAATCAGACGGCATATCCAATGCGATGCAGACGCAGATCATCAAACAAGCCACAGCTGTTGCTACACTAGCACCGACAGCGATCCCCCAGAAGTCCTTGGGCGTTCCTAGCCACGAGCATGGCAGCAGAACAGCAAAACAAATTACGAGCCAGATACGCAATTCGCCGGTTTTCCCAACATCAGCCACGTGCAAATTGACAAGATTTGCCAAGTTTCGCGCCGCCAGGATCAAAAACACTACACACACCCCTAGTCATAATATCAAAACAGTAACGTCAGGTAACACCTATACATTTCATCGTCCAAACATGGATGTTTGTTCCAAATGTAAAAATATTAGTTTCGGAGCCTTGTCAAAGACATCGAGGTTGACTAATGTTGCTCATGGTATTGATATGAAGCTATGTTTCGCTTCAGAGAGTTGAAAAAGAGGATTTAAGTCATTTTTACCTTTTGATTTACTACCCTTTACAATAAAAACGTCGGTGATTTCTCTTTCGCGCGGGATGCTAGTGCAAATCAAGTCACAACCTCGATCCCGTGTATTTCCCAGGGAGGAGAGGTCCTGGGAACGAGGCAAAGCAGAGTTCAAAATGGCTATTTGATTGCTAAACCTGACATGAACTGTCACACGACTCTTTACGTAAGGAACATATTTAGAAGTGGGAACCCAACAGCAATTTTTAGAAAATTCACTCAGGGCATTAGACTCAAAAATAATCGAGCAAGCAGACGTCATCTTCGTAAATCACATCATGTAAAATAGAGTAAATACTTAAGGCCTAGGTGTAAGGAAACACTTTAAAAACTCACTGCCTCGCATGTATGTATTATAATAAAGCAATTATTGATTGATAACCCTGCAGCGAAGGATGATGCATGTGTTCAGTCCCTTGGAAGTGTCTTCTGTTGCTCCCCCAACGTTTCCTGGCACCCGCTTCCGTGTTCAATTGCTAAATTTAAAAATCTCCAGTTAATCAATAAGCATTTCATTTCAATGTTATTTTCAGTACTATACCTATCAGTGTGATATTGATGCAGACAGTCACAGTCAATGACGCCCATCTTCCATAAGCCTTTTCTCCTATTGCTGGGTACGGGTACCGTACGTGTCCCTTGTACTCGCTATGCCTTTCACGAAGAGTCGCCCACGATCTCCCAAGAACCGTTCCACAGTAACCCGAGGCAAAGCAACAGAGAACGAGTAAACTAAATCCTGTCCAACCGGCTCCAACAATGGCAGCAGGAAGAGCCAAGACTCCACTCCCAGCCATCTCTCCGGTGATGAACACTGCGGCCGTGAACACAGTTAAACCTTTTTGCAACTCCTCAGGAGAATAATATTCGCCTCTCTCTATAATGTCGTCTCTGCTGTCGAAGGAATCTTCTTCCGATGCGCCATCTGGATGCTGATCACCGCTTTGGATATCCTTTGCAACAGGAGGGACAAGCATATCGATCAGTTTTATTTCTCTAAGGTTCCTTTGAGTCGGCCGTTTGCAATGAAGAACGAGTCACATGATAGACATAAGAGCGTAACTTGTTTTCGTCACGCAATCTTCAGGCGACACTGGGGTTATCCGTGACTGCCCTTCATACTGCATTAAGAAATGTTTCTACTCCTTATTTTGCAGCTGGAAAGATATAATTATCTCGAACTTTGCATAAAGACCCATCAATAAGGAGTTTGGTCAACACTGGCGCAGGGATATGAAAGCAAATTTGTCGTCACTACGTGAATGCATCTCCAATTTGAGAGGGAAAACCATGTCGATTAATTTCTACGAGGATATATGCCAGTGCAGGGAAAAATACTTTTGCACACTGACACGCGGGTTGCCCTAACTCGAATACTTCCTTGTCATCAGACCCTGTACTCCACTGTCCCCTCTCCAGTGATCCCTCCAGTGTTTTTTTCTATCTTCTGGGAAATAAAGATTGTTTATGTAACTTCACTCAGGTGTCCTAATAATATACCAGAGATTTTGAACATCGAGCACATGAGATGGCCCTCATTTGGAGAGCATTTCAAGCGATTAAAGGCGGAGGTACTCATCAAAGTAAATCTCAAGATATTTCATTTGACAGTACAACGCTTCCCGTGCTTGTTGCAGAACGTATTGCGTCCTTCCTGAACGGCAAAGATCTGATAAATTTGGGAAAGACTTGTAAATTCTGGAACGAAATATCTCGCAAGAATATCGTCTGGAAAATCCTCATCGAGAGACGGTTTGGACGGCAGGCAATTTCTGAAGCTAAAAATACCGCGATAGATTACAAAGGGCTTTATTTCAAACTAGCTACAAGCAAGAAGCCAGCTACTTCTTTTGATATAGTTTGGCTGAACGGTCATTATTTACAGAAAGCGAAAGACAGGGAAAGCGGATATGGAGAAGTTCTTCAATTGAACTCTGTTTGTTGGCTTCAAATCAACCAGTTTTTCGTCGGCGTTCTTCCAGGAAAATACGCTTTGGTATGGCGTATGAAACTGGATGGAGTTTACGTAAACTCAAGGGAAACGGTAGAATTCCGAGCAAGGCCGGAGGAAGGGTGTGGAAAGGAACTTTGTTCGAAATGGACCGAGCATGATCTGAAACGTGCAGAACGCCGCCATGGTAATTGTAAATGGTTTGAACAGAACATGGGGAATTTTGAAGTGACAGCTACCTGCAAAGTATATGTTGAGATTAAAGGAAGAATAAGTCAGTGGTGTGGTGGTATGTCGTGGGATTATGCCGAATTAAGGCTGCTTAAGTAAGAACTTGATAAAACAATTATCCACAGCAATTGATACCACTGAGAGTTTTCACGGTTGGAAAAAAGTAATAATTCCTTTGCTGGGATTAATTTATTTTCTGGTCGTACTATTTTTTTCACTTTCTGAGGATTTTGGGGTATGGAGTGTAACATTTTTTAGCATTACCTAATAGTGGTAAGTGTATAATGCAGGCACTTTTTGACTGGATAATATGATTTCAGCAATAGATTTCACAATGTTGTGGGTCATCACAGTAATATTTCAGAGATAAAGTCAAAATTTGCTAGAACAAAAAATTGCACAACGGAGATGTAGCCTATTACAAGTGTATCACTGATGTTGAAACCTTATTGTGGTTTATTATTGAGCAGATACAAGGCAACATGGAATCTTATATATATATATATATATATATATGTACACCCTTTTCAAAAATGTTGCAATTTGAAAACATATATTATATACATATTTTCTTTTAGAGAAATATATATTTTTTTGTTTTGTCACAATTTAATTTTGATGAAAAAACTGGGTGTGCAATTTAATTGTGGTCAAGTGGACAAGTTTTCCAGCTAAATACTTGCATAATTGAATAGTTTATGAATCAATGGTCTTTTATCACTTCTCTTTCAAAATAATTTGATGATGAACAACTAGTGGACAATGCAGTAACTTAAATGCAGTAATAATGATAATAATAAAACAATGGCATTCATTAGTAAATTCAGATATACACATTGAACAGTTTTACTCAAATTAATTCTGTTGTACACCAGAAATGGACAAATTCCACTATTGTTTTAGCCATTTCTTGGTGAAATGCTATTCATACCATCAGACCTACTTTTTCAGTTTCATTTGACTTTTATGGCTATAATAAAGCAGTCATGTGAAACTAAAGATAGTGCTGAATAGAACCAACAGTTAAAAAATAGAGATATGAATAATTTTTGGTATTCTCATGATTGGATTGAGATTTCAGTTTCTAATGGCTTCATATGAATGTGAAATACACATGCATGGTTCATCACCTTTTTGCAAAGAAAACAAAAAGATATATATCTTATATATACTTTCAAATTGTAACGCTTTTGAAATTGTATATGTATATGTATATGTATGCATGTATATGTATATGTATGATTGTATATGTACTGGTGTATAGATATATTTATTTATTGATAACAACAATGTAGCAAAATGTGATGGTTTCATCTATGCTTCTGTCCTCCAGTAGATCATAAGAAAGCACCAATCAAAATATGTGTTTAATTCAGCTTGTAAATATATAATTTCCTGTAAATGGCATGATCCTAAACATGATCTTGGTTCAACCAAGGCTTGGAGGACAACTGTATATTACCATGGTGCATTTAGCTTCTGACTAAGTCATCCAATGGCTAAGTGGAAGAGCAGTATGGCAGCAGTTGCAAGTGTGCGTGGCTTTTATTTTGATTGGTTCATTTGTGTATTTTTACCAGAACTTGCTGGAAGCAAAATTTATCTCGTGAAATATATCAAAAATTTTTACTCCCTTGGCAAATCTTGAAAGTGTAAACTTTCAGCTCAATTCCTAATATACTGTAGATAAGTTCTATAGATAAGTATTTGTTGTAGACATTGAACATAATTATAAAATGCCTTCAGATGAGTGAAATATTCTTTAATAAATACAGAATAACTTTCACTATCATAATCAAAATCAGTGGTGAACTAAATTTCAACCAAGGATAAAGTTGGACCACAAAACCTTTTGAAGGTTGATAATTATGTGGTCTCTTTCATGATGATGAAAGAGAAGAGAAAATGGAAAATGACATATGACAACAAACAAGCTCAAAGCCAGTCATTGAAATTCCATGAAAAGTTTAACTTCATTCCCTAAAATTTTTTATTCATTTCATGAATTTATTTTGTGTGTATTGCCTAATAAAAAATTAATAAGAATAATGGGCCCTCTCATTTTGGCATTACATTTTATTCAATATCCTTAGTCCAAAAACCATGTCCTGTTTCATTCATTACCTCTCTATTGTTTCCTTTGTCTTGAAAAAAAATTGTTATTAAGATGCTCTTAGTGACATTGCCTCACCCAGGAGAGCGGATTAAAATAAGTTATGCACGGAGAAATTTTAATGGCAAGCCTGAATAATCTGAGGTTATATATTCATTGATTATTCAAGCTTAGGAAACTTGTACAACTGTCCCAATTCAATCAAATACAGAACTGAAAATGATTGTGAGTTGACTAGTATTTCAGGCAGATTATGATTGTGAGTTTTTCCTTCAAGATCTCATTGGCTCCTTATGAGGTGGTTACTTTTCTTTGGTCAGTAAAATTAGCGTGTGATCAAAATGTGCTCTTTCCTTGTTTTCCCGCTTCAAAGCCCATCTTTCCCTCCTAACTATTGCTTGCCAAATATTTTTGCATTGGCTCCTTATGAGGTAGTTACTCTTCTTTTTGGGTAGGGTAAATCAGTGTGTAATCAAAATGTGCTTTTTCCCTATTTCGTGTTTCAAAGCCCATCTTTCCCTCCTAACTATTGCTTGCCAAATATTTTTGCATATTTCTTACTCTTCGCAAACCTGAAATGCTGTTATCCTCAAATAACCTTCTGACTCTCTATTCCAGTTAATTTTCTATGGATCAACGTATCCTCAGGGACTACCCAGGAAACACCTAGGTCGTTTCTATCTTGAGCCCGTGATACAAACTGAAAACACTTTCTGTAAGAATCACAGGTGGCTAAACAATTCTACCTAGTTCGGCTTGTGAACAAGTAAGAAGAATGCAGTGAAACAGATATGAAATAGTGTTAATTATGGGCCAGAGTTGCAGTTGGATGCACTGCTCTTGTTGGGAAAACTGTGCCTGTTGTCAGTATGACTCGGCGATTTGTGGACCTCGATATGCACGGTATCAAAGCGACGATATTGATGTTGACATGGAAAACGTTGTGGGCGATCTTCTCGAACTTGATCCCTTACAGTACGACAAGGAAAGTGGAACAGAAAAAATCAACGCGTGGATCGATGGAACTGTTCCTCAAATCGGATTGCCACCGAGTTTTGTCGCTATCAGCCGTGCTAAGTGCATCAAATATTGGCAAGTGTTACAGACTAAGCCCACCGCTAAACTGAGCGGTTCTTTTGTGCGGTTTTGCTTCGAAAAACGTCCAAACGGAGAGCTACCTAGATTGCTTATAGAACACAAGGGAAAATCGGTCATTGTCAGAAGTCCTCAGGATCGAATCAAACTCAAATCCAACGAGCCCGAGGTACATGTTTGATGCACGACATTGGAAAATTAGAGGAAATACTGTCAAAAGAATATTTAATGAGCTGATGAATCGCAGGAGCTGTCAGCGATATTACTGAATGACGTTTGTCTTCGTGAAGGGATAAAAGGAAAAAATCTAGTCTGTGAATATCTCCAGTGCTGCCCGAATGGGTTATCGTCACATTTTTTTGGGGGGGCCTTTCGTTAGTTTCGTTTTCTGCTAGGACCTGAGATCAGCTGAAGAAGACGAGCGCCGATCGTGACATGCTTACCTACAGTACATTATTTCAAGCTCGATTTATTTTCATTTATGTGGCGTAAGGGAGGTAAAAAGAGGTGTACGTCATAGTATTAGTAATTTCAAAGCGTATTTTTTGGTTACTTAATTTGTATTTATTTATCAGAAGAGATATTCTGGGATGTAAACAGATGAAACACACATTTGACATCGTTTTAAGATGGCATATAGTCTTCTATGAAGTAAGAATTGAAAATTTCTCGAGCGTCATCAATCATATTATTACGACAACGGCGTTCAATTCACAAAACTTGGGGATTCAATTTTTGGGAAGCAGATAGGCAAAGAAGTTAAAATTTCGAGTGAACTGAATGCTTGAAAAGCTTCAAATTCTTTGCAGTGTTAACATACTCTTTCTCGACCGCTTTTAATTACACATATTCGATCTGCATTTATAGAATGGAGAGTATGTTTTGTTGGTAAGGATTTCAGTGGACAAGGATAATAAATAAAAAAAAGTTAAGTTACATTCAATCTGTTAAATGTGTAAATAAGTTAGCCAAAACCAAACAATTGTAGACGTTGTAAGTTATTTATATTGCGATCTTTTAGAAACATGGCTAGCAATGACAAAAAAGAGAATGAATTCCTTCCATGGAATTTTATTTATTTAATAGATGTACAGCTTTCAGAATTCTTACATAATATTGATTTTTTTCTTGTCAAGTCATGATCATTAAGGAAGGGATTTCATTACTTCCGTGAATTAATAAAAATTAACTTCTAAAGGTTAAAATCTTGAACCACAGATGTTTGTTTTTAGTTAGACACAACACTGTAATAATTATGCGTTTTGAAGCTACAGTACACGTGATTCCTTTTAATTGGGCTGCAAACTCAACTTTAGTTCATTTTGAAGTCAAAGTCACCAGTTTGGTGAACTAACATTATATAATGGTTGCCAGAAACAAAAGAAGGATTGTGACAATAAAACAAAATAGCAAAAAATTAAGACTAGCAAGCCATTGCTTTTGAAGGTTCATGCAACATATCCAGCAGGCTTATGCACAGACCATCAAGTAGAAGGAGGAACATTTTTCTGAGGGAAGACTTGATAAAGGGATTAAAACATCTGATCCAAAATGTTATCATTAGTTTATACCTAGGCCATAAACACTGTGCATTATTTTATAAACATCCGACCTTTCTACCCAACCAAAAAACACCAAATTGCTATCCTGGGGTGCAAATATAGACACCAAATTTTTTCAACCCCTACTGGCAACCGAATAGTGGCTGCTTGGAGCACTGCTTAAGTTCTGTCCATCAGTGTTTTGATTTCTGCCTGCAGTGTTATATTTTCAGTGAAACCTTTTTTTTCATTCAAAGTCATAACCCAGTAGAGAGAAAAAGTGAACCACTGATGCAACTTAATTATACTGATGCCTCTGAATAACAAGTGTATCTTCCCCCTTTCCTGCCCCCTGCTTCAAATTTAAAGTGCATAGAAAAGCTCAGTTATTATTGCTCCCTAGGGGGGAGGACTCCCATTGCAGAGAGGGGTGTGCTCATCTGAGATTCTTTAGAATTACACCAATCTTCAAGATCAAACTGGGCATGACTTGAGCTTTATTTGACCAAAAAGACAATGAAGAAATGCCAGAAGGACTGACTGGCATTTTTGGTTCTCTTTCACGACAACATGACAGACAAAGGCAGTGACAGTTTGCTCTTAACATCGAAAGACTGAGGGATTTAGATAAGTGATTGTCACCTTAACCTCATAACTAATGATAATTCCTCCTCCAAATGAGAGATCCTCCAATGTAAATTATAAGATATAATGATGATATCAGAGTAACAAGGTATTTCACTGCATCAGGGTTCCACTATTACATATATACTTCACTGCTAGAAAGTGTGCAAATGCAAACATGATGACAAACATTATGACACAAACCAAATTTAAGTATCTGCACATGTACAATCTTGATTTCAACACATTTCCTAAAACCACTGTTTTTTTTTCTACCCTGTAAAAATAAATAATTTAAGGACTACTCCATGTGATTGTAGTTTCTACCAAATAGTGGCAATGTTCCTGTAGTGAATTCTAAATACAATGAACCCAAATACGACAACCAGACTAAGAAATCACTGAGGAATTCTGCTTTATTATTTAACATTCATTTACCACAGGCAAAGCAGTTTTTGTCAAAGAGTTTCCAAAATGACATTGAGGAAATTACTTGATAGTTTTTCCTGAGTCCAAGGATAATAATTGTCATGTATTACTCACTCAGGTGATTATTGGTTGAGACTCAGGCAAAATTCTGTCCTCTTTCCTTCTTTAGAAACATCACTAGGAATCTCTGGTACTCTAGCCATTTGAAAAATTATAATCACCTCGTGATGGCTAATAATAACAATATACAGCATAATTCTCAGCCAATCAGGACCCATTAGTAATAACTAAGCTATGCACAATTGTGTGTTCCTCAAGATGTGAAGCATGTGGGAAGTTTGGACAGCAAAAAAGATGCAGAATACTTTACTAGTGCTCCACACAAACTTAGCCTCTTTTATCTTAATCTCTTAACTTTCCACAATCTTCTGAAAGTGATGAACGCACATCAGTTGTAATACAAGGGAAATTCCTACTGCCATGCTTTAGTGCACGCACACAAGTTAGCAGGCGGAGCATGAAAAACAGGAAAGAAAAACATGTTCATGCAACTGAATTAGACTATATGAATTTAATATTTAACAAACTAGGAAATGTTAAGAATAGAAGATATAAATCAAACTAAAATTTTGATAAAATGCAGTTCTGATTGATTGAAACAGCCTGCTTTGACAGACACATGGTAAAGTAGAATGGTGAACTTAGTTTCTAGTAATTAATGTTGGAAAGATAAAAATAACAACATTTTAGTGCACATTTTAAATAGTTACTGTTTACCATCATCATTTGGAATGTAGTTCTAACTATGAACCTTACAGCTGGATGTAGGGCATTGTAAAACAACACTTAGACATCAGTAGCATTAGATACTCCAACAGTTTCTCATCATGGCTGTAAACTCCTGATCACTCTCAAAGCCAAGGCTTACACCTTCATAATAGTCCTCAAATTCCTGTTGGGATATTTAAAGGAAAAGTTAGTTAAGTATAACTTATCACTTATCACAACCATCGAGGAAGATGATTTGTATAAAATATATAATAAAAACAAATCAAAGATGCTGGGTTACTAACAAGGATTAAAGACCAAACAAATAGTTATAATTATGTATTAATTATATAACTACAATTCTTGTTTCTAGTAAGTAATATTATTAAGTGTTTAAAAAAATTATGAATCACAACAACTGGACAGCATGGTTCATTTGATGATGGATTAGTGGAAACTCTTGTAAGGCAAGTGTGCCTTTCCTTTTTAGTGAGAAAATGGAATTTCACACTTGAAAAAGTCACCAAATGTCATTATGATAAAAGAAATGGATTCATATTCCTGTAAGGCCACATTGATCTAAAATTTTTTGTGCACATCATTTAGGGATTAACTGTCTTGACATCAAAATTATTTCCTTATGACGAAGTTTAAAAAATTTTTAGGAAAAAGGGTATATGATGAGTTCAGTAGCAAAAAAGTTGATATACCGCATAAGTTACTTGGCCCTTGTTCTCACAAAGTTGAAAAGCGCTAAGAAAGGCCTCTTCAATTTCCCATTCCTTAGCCTCTCCTGAAAAACAAAATATATGGAAAGGATTAAAGTGGTTATTGTATTGTATTCCTAAATGAGCTTCAGACTTTTTTAGAAAGTAACATAACAAGCTATGTTAACTTAAAGTTTGTTTTAATTTGTGGAAATCCTAGGTTATCTTCAACAAAAATAATCACAAAATCACTGGTTTGCAACCAATAGAGGTTCTTTCAAGTAGTTTGATCTTTGGGTACATGCACCCTATAATGACCCTAACAGACTATACAAGATGACATTTTCAAAAGACAAAAGTTCTCTACATCTGAAAACAAGTTGGAGAATTATTATTACGAATTGACCAAGACTGATACATGACACCATATATTTAAATCACTAAATGCATGTGTATGCTGTAGTTTGATCTAATTTTGATTGAAATCTCATTTCCCTTTGGTTCTCTGTTGACTGTAAAATAACAAATTGAAGGTTTAGGTGTTTGAAATAAAATGAGATGAACCACAGATAAACTTAAATCACAACCTATAATCTGAACCAAGCTCTTCTTGGAAATTATTGCAGCACAGAGCTGTAAATAAGGTACCTTACGATTATCACTTTGTTGGGCAATGTGGCACATGTTGTGGGCTAACATAGAGATTTTAGCCTACTCCCATACTTGCATAATTGATCAGACTGTTTGCTGTCATGTTTTCAGTTTTATTTTCTCATCATGCCTTCAAAAGTGTTAATAATTTAGTAATACAGTTAATGTTCCTAATGGCTTGGGCTAAAATGACTCTGAGTAGGACCCAAAAAATATTAATGCCTGCAAACTTAATTAAACTTTATTACTTTATCACCTGAAATAACTTTTGGGTGTTTTTTGGTGCAGTAAAACTTTTTTATGTTATTCAAATTAACCACACCACTTTTGTTAGGGTCCAACTTCCTGAAAACCTGTTGAAAAACACTCATGGTCAAGTTCAGCATTCATGTAGGTTGATTTCCTGTATAAATTAAATTCTAGGGGTATGATTTTAGAGAGACAAATCTAGATACAGTTTCACAAAAATTTACTCCAAAGCACAACAAGGTTCACATGTTCAACCCTAACACAGAAGCATTCAGAAGGCAGACTCAGGAAAGTCTTTAATAAATTTATGCCCCCAATCCAGACCTAAAGGAAGCAAGTTCATGCCAACAACACTATCTGCACTGAAGAACAAAATGACACTTCGACAATTCTCTGCAAAAAGGAGGAGATCAAGGAGGCCTATGACCATCTCAAAGACAAATGAGTCCTGTCTCCAGGATCTTCACTAGAACAGAAATCACACCTCAACGAGTAGCTTCACTTAAACATGTCAATTAAAAATTAATAGAAGATGCAAAAAGGCAAATGACTGTCAACTATTGGTGGAACTAAAAATGGTTGGAGCACCAGACACATCATTTAGTAATAAACACTCTAAGCTAAAAAATTTCAAAGGAGGCTTCATTGCACAATAAATTCAGTTTTGAAATTGCTAGCCAAAGAGAGAAAACTAGAAAGAATGGCAGGACTGGTCAGGATAAAAGAGGGGAGAGCTCTAAAGAAGTAAGATACTGATGGAAATTCAGAGCATAGACTAGAAACAACTTAATGTTTTTGAAAAACTACCTCTTGCTTACCTTTCTAACAGAGGACTTCCTTAATTCATTCATTTCACCAATAAATCCTCTTGAGAACTCTCCATAGTCTAAGAAGCCATCTTGATTTACATCAAGCACACTCCATAAACAGTTAAATGTCTGAAGTGTAACAGAAAGACAACATTAATCTACAAATATGTTGTACTAGATCTTATTAGATACATGTATAATACCCATGTTAATCAATGTTGTAATTAGTCACACCAATAATACATCAAGTAGTCATTACTGAAAGTATCTTTTCAAGCTTTCAATTTGGGTGGCCCTTAAGTACTCAAGGCCCTGGAAGTACTCAAAACTTTAGATACAGGCAACCAGATGCTTCTACCATCCACATCTACCACCAACATGTAGACCAGTCAATTTGAAAATAATCATCAGGTTTATTGTAAGTTAGAGTTTTCCATCAATATAGTAGATTAAATTTAAAAAGTTACCAAATGAATTTAATCAGAAAATTCTAATTAATGATAAAATGTTTTTCTTGACCTACTAAATGAAATATTTTAATTTCTATTTTTCCAAAGTTTAACAGTGACACAATTTTCCAGCAGTGATTATTGATAGACAACTTCAGCACAATTACACCTAAAGAAAAAAATGTCAGGTGACTATGCGGTAGTTTCAAATAACATCATGTTGAAATGAATTCATACTTGTTTGAATTGCACCTTTCTTTGTTTAACCCTTAACAACCTAACATAATTTAGTATCAATATTCTCCATACTCTACTCTACACATTTCCTTTGTTACTGACAAAGAGAATTTGTTTATCAATCAAGAGTGATCTGGGGTGATGCCATAAGGAGAAATTAAATATTAGTCACTCTTTGCTATCAAAGGGTTAATTATGGGTCATGAGAAATATATCACATTAGTTTGAAACTATTTTGAACACTCATTTTAATGTACAACTGTTACAATGACACTGTATGCCACTTGCCTCATCAGGTATTCTAATGTGATAAGCCTCTAAAGCACTTTGGAGTTCCGTCCTGTCTAACAGCCCATCTCCTGATCTGTCCATCTTTCTGAAGTGTTGTCCAAGACCCATCATTGTTTTCACAGCCCTTGTTTGTAGTTGCTTTTTGACCATACCTTACAAGAAATACGTCATATGAGGTCATTGTTGAAGCAGGTTCATCAAAACTCAAACATAAAAGAAAGGGTGCACAACATCGAGGACACTAAGCCCTCTTTGAGATCAGAATTATGGATTCCAAAGGTGTCTTGAAAATTACTGATTAAAGGGAACATGACAGCCCTAAAACATTTAATTGTTGTGAATATTTGACTCTGCAATGCTATAGGTGATAGAAGTCTAATCATCGACGCAGCTGTACCTTGTGTGGTGATGTGGTATTAAATCAAACTGAGGGAAGACCTGCACATGTGTTTATGTATACATCATGAGGCAATATATATTCTACATTGTATATGTTACTTGAAGTAGACTGAGTAAGATGTGTTTCATTTAAATCTTAAAGACCATCTAATGAGCTAGTACAACATGGTTTCATCAATTGACTGCTTGATAATAGGCAAACCACTAAAGCACAAAAGTAGACAATAATGTAAGTTTAAGATTGGAAAAAAAGTCAGACACCACCATGCTTTGTCAGATCAAACAAAATTCAAAATTGCTTAATTGATAAATAACTTCACTTGACAAATCCATCATTTTGAAATGAAATTCCTCAATAAAATTATCCGCACTAACATATTTATTGTTAGCTCTTAACAAAATTTCCCCTTAAAGTTAACAATGATCCTATCATTGAGCTGCAATTTTGAGGAACTACAGGTAACATGTGTGAAAAAATTCAAATTTTAGTAGATACTAAAAACTCCTATAATGCACCAATCAATTTGGAGTTTCAACACAACTCCCATCCCTCATGGCAACCCATGGTTTTTTACACAAAAGGCCTTCCCAGGGGGCAAAAAATTTGAGTATTGCCTGGGTGGGGTGGGGAATTTGAACAAGAAGAGTAAAGTCTTTCCAGAGGAATACATATGTTTTAATATGGACAAGATTAAAGGTTTTATAGTCTGCTTTCCTGAGCAAAAGGCTTAGAATTAAAATTTAGATCAATCGACATAGAATGATGCTTCATGTGAAAAACCCAACAGCAGTACCAAAAAAAAAAGGTCACCACAGGTCAACAAATGACTTGTATGTCATTCAATTGAGATTGCCCTAAAAGTAATCATGTTCATTAGTCACTGATTTAAGATAATTCCTCAGCTTACTTTGTATATTTTTCACTAGCTCCTGCTCCTGGATTTCTGCTTTTGACAAAGGATTATCTAACCTCTCCATTATCGATCTTTTCTCATCAATAGAATGACAACTTTCATACCTGCAGAGAGGAATAACACATCCTTCAACTAACAATAATCACCAACAAATTATTCCTTAAATAAAACAAATTATATGTGTTCTAAAAAGGACAAGGAACACTAAAATATAATTAGTTTCCCTGTGACTTGTCACTTACAGTTGTGCTTCTCTGGCTTCCTCATCAACCTCAGAAATTCGAAACACCACAACTGGTCGGGTTCTTATGCTCTGGGGAAGCGATGTTTGCTGAGAGGTCAAAAATGACAAATTGCTGCCCTGAAATTGGAAACCAAACAGAAACCATTTCAGATTCTTCAGATATAGGTGGAGCACCAGTACCTCTGAGGGCTTAGCAACCTTCTCCCCCTTCCTGGGACAACACCCAATTTTGGGGAGCCTGTTTTCTTGCTTTAGGTTTTGTTATTTATTGTATGAAATTAAAGATCATGCAGAGCCATTCCCTGTCCCTCTCTGAGTAATGTTTTATGTGTGAATTTAGGAAGCACAAGACTGACACAGCATACTTGCAATGTAATTATCACAGTCTACAATGAATTACACAAAAGTAAGCTCCATAACTGAACAGACGAGAATTGTCCTTTGAAATCTGCATAAACCACCCTCCTTGAGTTGTACATTTATAACAGCCCGATGTTCTTCAAAATATATATTATTTAATCAGCCTTTTCTTGATGACACTACACATCCTGTAAACCTGATGTGCCAAACCCTCAGTTCATGTATAATCATGATTATGATGTTGAAAGTCTCTCAAGATTCACATGACTGCCAAGAAGCATGCCTTGATCAACTAAACATGATATCAATATTAAGTCTGTGTCAGATCATTATTTTGCTGATAAATCTTTTGGTTTGCTATGACTTCTAAGATGTAACAGCTATATGGACATACCACATGAATATCAAGCAGATTGTAAGCTTTTCCCTTATTCCTTCCTTGAACATGGTTGTAACAGCCTCGCTGAATAAAAGGAAGAGCTGATGACCTAAAAGGGGGAAAAATGCATGTTTAAAAAGTAGAAAAAAGAAGTGCACAGGAAGTTTTTACCAGTTGTTAATGTTTTGCTTATACTAAGTGCAAAGTTTGTGAACAAAAATCTCAAACACTTTTTAGTCCTTATGCTGTCATGAATGAAATCACAGACTTTATTTATTATCTGACATCATAATTGTAGAAAATATTTGCTTAACTTATTGCCTATTTCACCACAAATTCATGTTTTTATCATTGTCTTGATATAATGACAGGTTACCTATCAAATGCAATTATAATAAACTTCCCAAAAACCTCAGTCTTTAAATCTTACTTTAAGAAAGAACAGCTTTAAAACTGCAAGCCCACAGTATCCCTACAATTATCATTACAAAATCATTATGAACTTATTAGAATACAATCCTCTGCAACTGAAAATATTTTAATTTGTTTTAGAGTTTCCTTTAACTCTGATTTGTAACATTTAAGATACTATAATTAGGATTTTGACTTTGGTTATTAAGAAGTCAAAACAAAAATACCAGTAAGTGAGGACCATTTGTTTTATTGATAAATATAAATGGAATATCCAAGCAAATATCAACCTTGTGCCAAACTGGTGAAATTCATAGAGTGTTAGTGTCCCATCTGTTGAGAAGAAGAACCCATTCAATTCTCTATGAGCATCTCGACCATTCTTTGTCACAATTCTGGCTCCAAAACGCACTCTCTTAGAAAGGGCATTTTCTGTGTTGGGACCTTTAGAAGGACTCCTAAGTGAAAAGGATGGATCACTCAACATTTTGTACCTAAATCAATATTATATTAGCTGGAAGTTGAATATGTAGTGTACAAAGATGAATATTGACTGCAGTCTTTCTTTTGAGGGTCACTAGAGAGGAGACAACTCTTGACGTTGGCAACAGATTCACGTAACCCACTCTGCCTATCCATGACATGGTGTTTTCAACCTCAGAGTCAGAGAGTGAATTCAAAATTATCATGGTTCCTACATTCTTCATCAACTGAAGTAATTTCAAATGAATGGTGTTGGGTTTCTTGCTTGATATTCAAGGGTTGTGTGGAACAAGTCATGATTGACTGTTTAGCTGACTGTGAGTAACAGTATTTTAAGTGTTAGGAAGCTTAAGAGTGCAAGAATCCTACCTAATCCGTTATAGCATCATGAAAAAATTACACAGTGATACTACCATAAATATTGACAATATCATTGTAGCTGATATGGAAATTTTTTGTAATTCTGTTTGGGAAGTTTTCTAAGTATGTACCTTGTGTTATAGAATTCCATTTGCTTTCTTTGTTTGGGTGCCAGATCAGGAGGAATAGTGCTGTTGTTTTTCTCTGGATCAGAGACAGCCGCCCTATATGTAATGAAAAATTTTGATAATTAATTGTGGATACTCATCATGAATCACAGAAATGAAATCCTTAACAGGACTACAAAGAGCCATCATTCCAGATCAAACAAGCTGAATCATTTACCAGCCAAACTACTGGTCAAGATACTGACAAAGAAAGAAAAGAATGTCTCACATAATAAAGCAAGGTATTTATCAAACTGCAATGACACATGCAAAGCCTCTTAACATCTTCCTTTCCTTCTGAGTGGCCTTTCACATTCAACCCCTTATGATTATTAAGGGTTCAGTTAAAAGAAGAGAATCAGAATCCATAATTTTCTTATCTATTTTGAAAATAGATTAACAAATAATGACTTGTGGACTAGCACAAGACAGGCATCATTTTTTTTTTGCAATCACATGAAATGATTCAATGAGATAAAAAAGACTTCTAATGTCCAGTGTTCTAGTTCTTGGTTCAGACAAATATTTTAAGGCTGCTCGCGAAAAAGAATAATTCTTGGAATGACTATTTTCTGCACAGAGCATTTTCTCCCTGCTTCCTGAAAACTAAAATTGAACTAGATGGACATGAAACTTTTGTGTTGATGGATCAAACTTTTAGATGAGGGTAAACATGTAACTATGTGTTGGCATAAGCTTATAGGAGCAATCAAAGCAAGTGTCTCAATTTTTGCTATTTAGCACATAATAGCAATAGTCCATTTTACAGCTGCATACTTGGTTTCCAAGCTACCTTTGAACAGCAGTGAGGGTGACTTTGTTATGATACAATTGTTGCTGCTTTTCAAATGCAAATTACTTTGTTATCATGCTAACTAGATACTGGTCTCTATGACAACAAGGTCACCTTCAGCCTTACTCCAAATCAAAGTCTTGGCAAGTAAGTACTAAGTGAGTTGATACCAATGGTCATACAATAATTAATTACTTGCAAACAACTAATACATGTATCAAAGTTAACTTCTTGCTGTTCATTGACCAATACTCCTTACATGAAATCAATTGTGCACTGTCAGTATTATATACCTTGACAACTGATCCACCAGAACTGTTTCAGCAATCAGATCCTTTTTCTTTTCTGTGTGTAAAATTTCCTAAAATCAAACCATCAAATCAAGAGATAATTACACTGTAATTTCTTAATCAAACAGTCACATACCTATTCATGCCTGCCAAAGATCATATCTTTCATTTTCATAAAATTAATATATTTTGTCCATGGTTTTATTTTAGCTCAACAAGAAGCCAAAATACATAATTCAAACAAATCAATAACAAAAAATTTTCAGTGAAAGAGAAACACAAAATGAAATAAAAAATAAACTTGGACCAAACTATAATATTTATGGTCCCTTAAGAATTTTTAGAAATTTCTTCAGCCGTAACAAAAAAAGTCAAAATTTCATTTCAAATAAAGACAAGTATTTTTTTTCCCTTTGTCTAAATAGAGTAGCTGGAAACCTCAGAAACAAGCAGCCCACAAAGACACTGCCTGCTGGTGCTTATGAGGAACACTGTTTAATATCCTACAAGTCTACACGTAGTAAACTGAATACCCTTTCTTGTCTTGTCTTAAACTGAGCCAGCTCTCGCTGAGTGTGTGGTTGTGTACTCCATGGTCTATCATGCTGATTAGCCAGGCTGCTTGGGTATAAACACAACCAGACATTCCATTAGAGAAAGATAAGAGATAAGATCATATGCTCCTACCTTTAACCTCCACCTTCAAAAAGTATACAATCATGTACATTAAATTATGGTTGCACTGACCATGATTTGAGATCCAAAAGAGTAATTAAATTAGTCTTTCCAAAACAGTCGTAAATTTCCAATCACAACTATACTAAAAATTAACACCTTAATAATCACTGATTATAGTCATCATTGCTAAGAATTTAGATCATGCGAATTTAAAGAGTATTATAGAAAACACATAATGATGTTTTGACAAGTGTGAACTTACTTCCTTGTATCATTAGCATCCACCTGCAAAATGTTGAAAAAATAGTTCTATTTAATAAATATTAAAGACAAAGGCAAAATTTATTATGTATATACTTAATATATGTATTGCTGGAAAGTACTGAATAGTGAAGAGAAGTGAGATTTAGGCAAGTGCGCATTGTTCACTTCAAAATATGTGCACAAAGATTGATGTTTTGTGAATCTGGTGTAATAAATCTTCTACAAAATAAAAGGAATTCACCATAGATTGTTCAAATCAGGTTCTGTTACAGTAGTAAGTTTTGCAAGTAAAATAGAGTCATCAGTTAAAGACACCCAGAAGTATAATATGTAAATGGGTACTGCTAAACTTAAAGGGAAGCTTGATAACATGCTGTCAAGAAGTTAACCAATGGTGGATTGGCATTCCATCCAGGGGAGGTTAGCAATACTCCTTGTCACAATCACTTCATGCTACCAAAACTGGATTAAGTTCCAGTTGGATGGGTCACTTGGGTCGAGGGTAGATAATTCTTTACCTATCAATTTAGATCTGCTCTTATCATGGCACGATTCAAAAAAAGTGTGTGAACAGGTTGTACTTTAAAACCAAGAAACATTTTAAATTGAGAAATCTTTGATTTACCTTGAATGGCTTCTCTTCAAATCTGACCTCAGGATGGACATCTCTACTCTCATTGTGGCCTGCTTGAAAAGCCTGACCATAGATATAAAGATGATAGAAAATATTAGTCCGAGTCAAAGGTTAAGCCCTATTTTCTACCTATTAAAGATCTCTCTGACCTTACACTTTATGTACTCTTTGTGTATCTTTTGTAAATAAATGCAAATACCTCAACAAATATTTAGGAAAAACATTGAGGTGTTAACAATTGTGTAACCTCATTAAAGAACAGTGCAGCACCTTCCATGCTTGATCCATGTATGTAGTAACGCTTTTCATAGCAGCATGATTTGGCCAACAGTTTGCCATCATGTTTATCACTTTTCTCAAGAGAATAAATTATAAACTTAGTGTTGTTGGAGTATACAATAGATATCAACTGAAATATCATAGTCCAACCTTCTGCAGGCCATCATTTCCTTGTGGCTTCTTCTGATCAAGAGGGGGTACATGATCCACTGGCTTCTTATGTGACTGTGTACCATGATCCTGTAACATGTAGAAATTAAAATCTGTAAAACTTTACTATATGGAAGATGCTTTCCTTCTCAAATGGCAGAGTCCATCACATATATTGCAAATAATGTATTCAGGAGCAACTTTGGAGTGATGAAAACAATAACTATGATTAGGTAACAATAATTATTGTTCACAAATTATTGAGTAGAAAGGAATGCAGCTGTTTTGCTCAAGCTTTGCTTTATTGCCTGCTGCAATTGGATAAAAAACAAAATTTTTAACCAGTCATGTTTTCAAAACCTTATTGGACCCCTTTAGAGTCAATTAATTCTGGTCGAGGTATATACAATTGTCATTTTATGTCTGGTAGGTTTTTATACTCAAATGATCTAAAAGCAATTTCCAATACCAAATTTGCTTTATGAAGCTTTATCAATATCTTACCTTCAGGGCATGAAATTAACTTTTTTTTCTGATAGCCACTTGGCTCCTGAATTCTTCAAAGTGGTAGCCAATTCAAAAAAAGTTGGTCGCCATTTTCAAAGACAAACAAAATCTTTCTTTACGCTGTCAGCGTTCTAGATAGACCCTCCAAAATTAAGTTAGGGAAAAGATCTTCGACGTGCTACAAAGTGGACACTAGGATGTATTATATACAAACTTCAGGCTCATCTAAATCCAAGATGGCGTCTAGTTATCTATCGAGATACATGTGCTACGTTTTGGAAACAAACTAAACGAGGAAGTTTGCCGCGGATTTTGCAAATTTATTTAATTCACTACATCTCTTGGTAAGGTTATGATGAAACGTTGTAGTCGCCAATTTGGCGACTAACTTTCAGGATTTGGTCGCCAAAGTGAAAAATTTAGTCGCATTGGCGCCTGTATTAGGCGCAATTTCGCGCCCTGACCTTGAAGTTTTCTCATTTTTCATTTTTATACTTATGGGTCAGGTGATACAGAGTTAAGGAACATTCAAGTAACCATTGAACCGTTTCTTAGCTTGGCATACCAATGGGTCATGACGCTACAAAACACACGACTACAACTACCATCATGATATGTTCTCTATTGTGACTGAGCCCCAGAAATGTTGATGTCTTAATTTAATTTTGAAACTTAATTATCTCCAGTTTCTTTCAAGAAGAAGAATTTAAGACAAATAAGACACCACAATATTTTGATTAGTTTTGTGAGTAGATTTACATACCTGCTGCCAGTCCCTTCCTTTAGGTTTCACTGGATTAGAATGAAATCTTGAGCTATGAAGAGGAGTTCCCCAGCTACAAAAAGAGGTTAAAAAAGAACACGTTCAGATATCATTTAAGTACATTCCAGTCATAAAACCAGCAGCCATTTTGTCTATCTATAATGCTCCAGGAAATGAAACAAAGTTGCTGCATACAACAGAGATCAATTTCTAAATGATAAACTTAGACTCCAAATAAGTATTGCTGACTTAATTTTCATCAGAAACATAGCATCATGAACAATGTTGTATGCTCTATAGCTCATTTTGTTACAAGAACTTCTATCTACAGAAATTAAGTTTGGGAAATTTGGAGCATACAGTACATGTAAAAGTTTTATGGTTAGAATTTGAATGAATGAAGAAAAACACTCAACTTCTAAATAAAAAAGCACTCTATCATATGGAGTGATGATGCCAAAGATCATTAATAACTTGATGCCCAACAAATCCAATGCCTTTCTAAACTCCCAGTCAGTCCTTGTAGACCATTTGTCAGCATCTTAAAAACACTGTGACTGTTTCATGAACCCTACCTGGCAGGTTTAGCAAAAAGAAACTAAAAAAGGGAGGTAAGGGTCAGGGAAAGACTTGTTAAAAACAACTGCTCAGATAAAAACTTAAAAGAAATTTGACTGCCATGACCATGCAATATTCTATATAAGCCTGCACTTAATTTGAGTCTCTCTGCTGATCACAAGAACATGTCATGCTTTGAGGTTCATTATATGTACATGCATCAATGGTTGAATGAAAATGTAACCAAATAGGAGTGGATATGGTTTTGTTAGTTTCAATTGGTTATGTCAACACATGAAAGGTTTTTTTTTGTAAAATGGAAACTCACCTGATTAAACTACTATTGGAATCTGGCGTGTGTAAATGGGGACCATCCTGTGCTATTGGTTCTAGCAACTAAAATTTATGAGAAGATTAAACAATAAAAGTAAAAAAATTAATAAATATAAACAGGGTTTAAGTTATTTCTTAACAATATTCAGACCAAAATGCCAAGGTATGTTTAAAATTTAAAGTGGTGATTATCAATGAGACAGAGCAAAAGAAATAAATTAAAATAAAAAAAAGGGTCAGGAAAAAAAATGAAATATACCATAGACAAAAATAGCTATATCACGTGATATTATCAAATAATCAATGGTGTTAAAAAGAATGGTCAGAGTGAGGTACTTTTGTCTGTTTGAGGCTAGCATTTTTATTTACTTATTTTGTGCATACTACATACTACATGTTGCTTCAATATACCGATACATTATAACTTCCACAATCTGTACACAATTATTCACATACATGCTAAATCAATGCTTTGTAATATCTAATTTGTGCAAAATACCTGGTAATTATCATCGGCAAGATTTCCAAGGTCTAACTGAGGTACTCTGAAAAGTTCATCACAGAAAAAAAAATTATTCTTGAATAAAGGTATAACTTTATCAAACAAGTGAAGATTTTCAATTTTTCCTTTACCCCTGAGGTGCTTTTCTTCCACCAGTCCGACCCCGTGAGAAAACTTGAACCTCCAATGGCTGATCAGCATAATTTGGATTTTCCTTAAGAGTACAAAAATGAGATCAATCAATCACACTGTTCCTGTACAGTAATAATTATTTAGTGGTAAATACTGCAACAGTGAAAGTATTAACATTTGATTTGTTCCAAAAAGAACATGTTAAAATAAAAGAAATTGCATAAATGACCAAGAAAATTACATTAACTGATACAACTGAGAAATTAAGAATTTTGATGTGAATAAGTTATGTAAATTAATACACTTGACCAAAAGGTGTTGATTAGATGCATGAGTAAAACTCAATAAAAAAATATTATCTACAAATTTAATGAAAGTTTGTGAGACTACATATACAAAGGTTAAGAAGGATGATCTATTGGAATGAAAAATTATCCTATGAAGAATACAAGTATGCAAAATCAACAGTGATGGAAGGCCACAACAGGAAATTAAGTAACCAAGAAAATTAACTCAAATCCTTAATCATTCTGTGTGGTTGGTACCTATGCCTACATAATTCTTTGCTTTAACAACAATGAGCTTGATGAAACTATGTATGAATGAAAAATTATCCTATGAATATATAAGGTATGCAAAAATCAAGAAACCTTTAGATTTTGAGAAGGCCTCTATGAGCAAACCTTACTACCATATGCTTTATTTAACCTGCCATGACTGATATTTTTTATTACACTGGCTTATGAAATAATTTCACAAAAGTTTATTGAGGTGATTCCTCAGAAAAAAAAAAGTTATCAAACAATTTTTTTAAAATGTTCCTTAAATGTTCCCTCTCAATGTCTGTTTAATACAATTTAAAAGATAGGTCACAGTGCTTGTTCAAGAGATATGATGAACCAAACTTACCCCACTTATGCCTGTTTCTAATCACGCATATCATTTGATTGGCCTAAAGTACATTTTGAGGTAGCTGGATGCAAGGGTGTTTAAAGTAACATTTCACTAAAAACTTGATAGGTAGAAACTCTCCAGCCTATGGAGCAATTTGATATATACTTTGTGAAAAAATGAGACAATTTTAAACAACCTCAACTTAAAATGTTCCTCGAATTGTTGCTTTCAAGGACATAATTTTCCTCATTGTGTAATGCATGGTTTTAGCCATACCTTTTTTTCCCTTCAATAAATTTTTAAAATTTCTTGAATTTAAAGGGGATCACTTGTATAACAAAATCATGCAATGAAAAATATAGGTCACCATGCCTGTTCACAAGCTCAAGACCATCATACCTCCTTACCTGGTCCATGTATTAAAAAACAATACAGTATCCTCAGAATGCAAGCACGCTTATTTGTCTGATTATGTGATTTTTATGTACACTGGTGCAATACTGAGGAATCACCTTAATAACATTACATTTTTTTTTGTAAAATGCTGACCTTGACCTTAGCTAAGTTCCTAGCAGTATCCAACTGAGATTTTGTGATCACTGTGGCCTTGAAAAGAAAGTAGTTCCAATATCACCATAGTGAATTACTGAATACTCATAAATATAATTTATAGTACAATAAAAGGCTTGCCCATAAATACTGTCAAGGCTGTATGTTACAATAATAATAATAATAATAAACTAAGCTGTTTGTCACGTAAAAGCATAGTCAGCAGGTTTTCAACATGACTTTTTTTACACCTGATTGAAATATGAATTTTTACTATTCCTCTGTAAACCTCATAACTCACAACATCCTAATATTCATTAACCTAAAAATTACCACATGTGAATTACTTTTATTATGGACCATTAAAGTGTTTTCTTAAGTTTTCAGATTGTGTAACTGTAAACAGAACACCATTCCTTCATAGTCACAAACAGTGACAGAGGTGCAGCGCTGCCTTATAACTGTTGTTCCCTGAAAGCACAACATTGTGCTGCTTACTTTGAGACACAGTCCAGTTATTCAAAATCTTTTGGAATATCTGGTATCTGGTATTAACTAAAGTGTTACATCTACGTAGATGAAGAAACAAATCATTTACTTGGAAGATGTATATAGCTGGCAGATAGTGGAATTACCGTTCATATCTTAGCAGTCAGAGGTATGAGGTGTACAATTTGTTCAATTTAAAAAGGTAAATTGAAACAAAATAACCAATAAAAATTAAAATATTAGTGCTTAAATTTCATTACTTAGCTGAATCCCAATTGAATGTAACATTATCAATAACATTGTGTATTAATTTACTTCTACTGCATATCAATGCAAATAGTCTTACATTTGAAGTCAGTCCCACTGCCTTCTTGGGAGGGTGCCCACTTACAGGGCGTGGTGCCTCTGGCGTAGTGTGGATTGAGCTTGATTTAATACTGTTTCCATGGGAACTAGCTGGTGCGTTACTATCAGGGTTGTTCTGTCTAGGGCTATCATCAATACCAAATATGTGAGATTTTGTGCTCCCTCCTCTCCCAGCACTACCAGGTCGTGCACGGCGTCCACTTGGCGGCCTTTGGTGACGTGATGTGGATGTGCCAGTTACTGACAGATTGGGTTGGGAATTTCCTTGCCAAAAGCTCATTGCATCCCTGCCATATCTTACATTTTAATATCTACAAGCAAGATCAGACAATGCGATAAGTATCTAAACAAGCTGAACAAACATTAGTAAGATTTCCGCACAGCCCCGTACTATTGTAAAACAAAGCTGTAGTCCCACAGGTAATCTCTTGTTTTCGCCATTGTTTCCTTTATCCCAGAACCGTTGGCATAATTATACATGGGGCTGTGCGGATATCTTACCCAAACTTTTAAGTGGTTTGAGCATTTAACACCACAGAAATACCCTGTGTTTTGCGTAGAATCGTCAACAATGACATGATCTCTAAAATAAATAAGCTCAAAATCTTAATAAAGAGCACAATGCCCCAACGACTAACTATATTGTACATTTCTGTAAATTTCAAAGTGCCGAGTTAGTTATTACAAAGGACTCACTTCGCCTCACTTATTATCGAGTAGACAACTAAACCATTTCTTCCATAGAGGAACAACTCTGAATCGAAGAATTAGCACTGTGAAGAACATACAAAGAGATTTACCTCAGATCAACAGCATAATTTTCCCGCCAAAGACATTCGAAAATTAGCGCTGTTCACCGACGGACACTTCAACAACACTATCGAAGTAAGACTTCAGCAAGTTTCTCCATTACGATTTTTCAAATCAAACCAAGCTAAAAGTCAATCAGCTGTATAAGTTGGAGTATACACAGAAACCATAACAGTAGGAAACATGCTCAGCAACTATGTTTTGAGCCCGCATGGAATTTTCCGGCAAAACGCGGTCCTGTGATCAACTTGGCTTCATGTATCTTACATGAAACGTCTGGGAACGCGGAACCAGCTTGACTTGACTGATAATAAAGGGCGCGTCAAAGATACCTTCAAAGCGGGAAGCAACAAGCCTATTCAGCCAGTTTCGATATGGACATTCCACTCATATAATCACAACCGTGACACAAATGGAAGAGTGAAGGCAACGAGTTTTGCGACGGGATGCAGAGAAAGAAACGTTATTCGTGTTTCGCTCTAGTTATTCGCGTCGAGTAGAGCAAATAAAAGCGACAAACTCAGGTCTTGTGTCTTACTTCTTTTTTTTTTTCTTTCTTTTTCCCTATATTAATGTTTTTAGTTTTTTCATTTTATATCCAAGGGGTATAATATACGAATCTTAACAAATTAAGGAAACAAATTATGGTCAAACAACCCGACACCGACTTTCCACTCAAAGGATTTGAACTCTATCGCTTGGAGGGATATGGCCAACAGCGAAACACGGTTAGGGACGGGAGCGAAACAATTCTGAATAGGAAGCTCTGGGAAGCTCTGATGCAAAGAAGTTGTTACAAATCTGAGACCTTGCCGTCGTGGTAGAACATTGCAATGAAACAAATCTGGTTTCAGAGCTGCGATTCACAAATAGGAACCGGAGAAAGAGGTTGCCACAAACCAACAATTAGCCACGCAGTGTAAGCACTCCGAAAGACTCCCATAAATTTAAAATGAAATTCTACCTCGAAGTTGCCAAAAGAAACGGAAGAACTCATTCAAGTTCAAGGGCATTAACATTTCTGTTACGTTCAGTTTTCGGCCGTTTGTAATGCACCAAATAGCCAGCAATCTAAATTTTCTTACACTCCAGAAATCCTGGAGATCTGTTTTGATGAACGATCACGAGCGTTTGGAAATCGAGGGCAACAACTCGGGGTAACATAGACCAACCCGGAGGGTAAACGATATCGCGATATGTCTTTTTTGAAGCATCAACTGGTTTACACATTAATCTAGTAACCTTTTCACTCTCCCGCTGATGAAGCCTTACACTTCCTGTAGGGAATACTTTTATTTATGCCTTTATTCCTCGCTATTTTAAAGTGTGCGTAAAAACAATGTGATCCTATACAGAGGTACAAAACCTACGATGAGCTTCTGCTAGTTCAATTTCAAAGAAAGATTCGACTTGAAAAAGCAGTTCTAAATTCTTACAAAAGCTCATTACCGAATAAAGACTACAACTCACTGCTGTAAAAAAGGGGGGTTAGGGAATTGAGAAAAAGGTCGTCGATCCCGTTGTTCTAACGAGACATTAGCTGTATGCCCGGCGTACAAAGTTGACTGAATGGAGTCAAGTTTCGATGTGAGTCAAGTGCAGTCGTTCGAATCATACCTATCGCGCTTCGCACTTGAATCTACTTCCCCCTCCACGTCCCAACTGTACAAATCTGTTTGTGTGGGCTTACCCAGACAATAAAAGTCAATCATGCATTCTAGGTTGTCACATCATGATGTCGTGGGAGTCCGCAAATCTGTTAAAGATTAACAGCTGTGGGCTAACACTGCTCTTGATAATACAAAACTTGAATTACTCTTCTATTTGTTCTTGAAAACTGCCCAGACAACATGCAAAAACAGTTGTAAACCGATTGCAAAGTCCAGGAAAACACATTTGACAAGTAAGCAATGAACAATGAATAAGTTCGCAGACACTTTGTTCCAATGTCTTTTTAACGTAATCCGCTGGTCATCTCGGAGCGTGCAGGCGCCCCATGAATCGTGAGGAGTCCTTTGATACGTCGGACGAGAACTTGGATAAATCCAACCCGCGTTCTTCCTTTTCCGTGCGTCTAAAAGCCAACAAAAAGTAAAAAATAAAAAAAGAACGAAATAAACCACATGATTATAGATTGAAGAACACTCTTTTTGTGATGCAGTGCATTGAAAAGCAATGTCGTCGATGACTACGAATGATGCTCGGATATTTTGAAGAGAAATTACCATGAAAGTCAGAAGAAGAGTTCCTCTCAGCGAAATATTTCTTGCATAGTCTGGTTTGTTAACCAGCTGTCTCGCGATTTCTTTAAGACTCGTACGAAGTTCGTTTAAGTTAGGTCAGTCGCCAGGACAGTTGGTATATTCTGTTTAGAGTGAAATTGTTGTCGAAAAAAACGACGAAATCCATCGTAACTAGATATCAAGTTAAAAGCATCTTCTCAGAATTAATACAAACTCGACATCGCTGGAATTCTTCACTAGAATGAACGGTACATTTTAGCTCACGCATGTCCTTTTTAATTTGCAGATCGATATGCTCTTTACAATATGACCAAGAAAAAAGGTGGTTTTCACTTAACGCACCTGTTCAATCTCAACGAGTTTCTTCAAAAACGTCTCTGTAAGGATACTAGCTGCCTCTCTCTTGAGCTGCAATAAAAAAAAACTAAGACTCTTAGATTTGTAAACATCTTGCATGAATTAATGTCTTAGAAGTTGAGACTAAAGGTATGGTATCCATAGCACACAACGATGGTCCAAGGAGAACGGAAGATTTTTCCAGAAAAGGAACCGAAAAATCTTTCTCTAAAGCCAAACCAAAAGTTACCTTTTGGATAAAACAAATCATCGAAACGTATAAGAAAATAATTATAGCTTATGTGAAAAAGGGGCGGAGTGCGGAGAGGTGTTGGAAACGCCAGAGAAACAGCGAACGAACGAACGAACGAGTAAAAGTGATCGAACAAACACTCACAGCGTCAATGTCCTCTCGTGTCACACTTTCTCTAGATCTTATTGCTTCTGAAGCAGGATCTAATGTTACTGAAGCTTCCGTAAGCGACTGTCTCTCTGTAGAAGAAAAAAAAATCAATGTTAATGTTGAATGACGCTTCATGGTGGTTAGGAAAAACTTAATTAAACAAAATTCTCCAAGCTGATATCTAACACCGTATATATTAGTGTCCTTCACTGCTTCTGCTTAGTCTCGTTAAACAACACACTCTTTCTGCTGCAGAGAGAACGCGCGACGCAACCAAATACATTGCCACGAAGGAGAATGACTGACTGATACCTCCGGGCTTACAAAGAATCATTCCAGTCTATTGCCAGAATTTAAGGGATTTTTACAGTAGGTCCTTGCTTTTCTAAGTACAAAGTCACTCTACGACACTGATGATACTACGTTTAACAACAACAAAAAAGTACTAAAAATTGACTGTCAAATACATTTTAACAAATAAGTCATTTACCTATCTTTAACTAAAGTAATGCTCACTATTTACCACCTTGCCTCAAAGTTAATGAATACCCTCTCATAGCCCTTAACGAATTTATCAAAGAAGAAGTTGAATCCAAACTCTAAAGAAGACATATATCGAGTGAGCGCCAGCTGTGCTCTCTGTGCCACAAGGGACCACAGTCAGTTCCAAAAAAGACAACAACAACAAAACAACACTACCATGTAATCGTCTCATTTGACTGCTGATCAGCGGCGGTCCAGCGAGAATGCGTCGTTCTTCATCCGACGGGATGCAGCGCAAAAAGTAGAAATCGAGGTGACGCCATAGAATAAACAAACAATTCTCAATAATGTCTGTTGAGTAAGTTAAGAGAAAACCTTTGTTGTCTAAAAAAAAAAAAAAATTACAATAACGCATTGTTCTGTTCGGAACCGGGCTAAGAGCGAGGCAATCTTTGTTGCTTGCCTAATTCAAGTAGTAAGATCGCTCCTCAAGAATCAAGGAGGCACGGCTTCGAACCGCGCTTTTTCTGAAGTTTCGTTTAAGCTTCTTTCTCTGCAATTTCACACAGAATTACAGTTCACCAGAGCTTATCTAGCCATACTTGTCATTTTGTGGTGTTTGATTTAGTGGTAGCTGGAGAGCAAGGCATTTGAAAAGAATTTCTTTTCAAACAGCCCTAGAAAACGTTTGCAGAACATCAAAGGATACACAACTGAGCAGAAATCTCCTGCGTCTTGTACTGTACAACTTGAGTAAGACATTTCTGTGCCAGTTGGTGACGTTGCTGTGTTGACAATCTCTCTTGAACAGCTCCACCGTGTTGAACTTGGTTTAACTGTGGGATTGGAAACATAAAACACTTATTCAGTTATTCACTCTGGCACATTTTTGAGGTTGGAAGCAATACCGCGTGTCAAACAAGAATTAGACGTGACCATTACCAGGTAACACATTTAAAGTTAGAAAAGAAACTGTTGGAGCTACGTAACTGGCATGGAGCAGGAACGATTTGCAATTTTTACCCATACATCAACAAAGACATCTAAAGATTCTTATTCTTTCTGACCACTAGCGATAATTGAAATCAGAAATCAAACCTCTCTTAGTTCTTCACTCGTCAACTCGGTCACATTTTGCAGCTTCACACGCGTCTGTGACAACAACTCAGCCGTCTGAAAGACTTGATCGCAACACTTCTTCATGAAAGTCACAGGTAGACCAAGGCTGACTTGAAGGCGGAAAGACACCACGGTTGAGGAACGAATGGCTGTAAGAGATACAAATGATGAAGACAACAAACACAAGAGAACCAAACAATTAACTGAAAATAACTCTTTTAGTTTCTCTTCAATGAGCTGAAATTCCTCACAGTTGTGAAACTTGACGATTTCTTCACAGCGCAAAACTTAGCCAAAGCATAGCACAATAAAGCCGATCGCCAGCATAGATCCCACATGCACAAGCTGTTCCTGATCTGCTTTCTCTAGGCAAATCAACTCAAACGGTGATTTTTCCTCCACGTTTGGTTAGTACCTTAATGACATGCCCTTAAAAAGAACGTGATGTTTGAACTAGCGGCCGATTATTGAGTCTTCATCAACGCCGTTGTCTGAGTCTGTCACGCAACCGTCACCCTTCCCCTTATACGACGGCTGAAAAAGGGGACTACAGAACTTCCTAAATTAATAAAAATCTTTTGAAAGAGGTATACGTTCTATATCACTATCGTTGAGATGGAATTCCAGATATGCCATGGGCGTAAAATGAAGCTGTTACTCTCCATACCTTCTCTAGTGAGGCGAGAATCACGTGCTAAAGAGTCCGTCAAACTTGGTGAAAACAGCGCATGACAATGAGAGGGAACCGTACCTGGAGAAAAAGCGCACTTTGTTTACAACCCCTACATTACAGATGGATCTTAAATCCTTGGATACTGTCAGATAAAAAGAAAAAAGTTGCGCGGAAAACGGAAACATCGTGCAATAAATTCCTCAACGTACTACTGGATGTTTGGATGAAAGCAAGCGCGCCTAACAGTGTCAAGTAGCAAATAATCAGTAAATTTTTGTCGACTCTGTCCGTCACGCGAGTGGAGAGAAAGCTTCCACAGATAGGACTAAAATACAGTGTAGGCTAAAGTTGACAAAGCAGTAAGGTTACACTCCCAAATACATCGTCACGCAAGAGAAATCAAATTCAATTCAAAAAGTAAAATTCGTACCATATGAATCCATGACCGTTCTACAGTAACCAATAACATTTGAGCAGATTCTTTGCAACTTTTCGGTCGTTTCCATGGCGACCAAACTGTACTTAGCGCCAGGTTCCTCACCGTTTTTCTCCATTACGGATTTGATGATCTGCAAACGTCGTGAGACAGATTAAAATTCTCCTTAAAATAAAGACAAGGACAACAAATCCAAGTCATGACTCTTCTCTAATAGCAAATTTGACGATTTAGAACGCCACAGGAAGACCTATTCCCCCAAGAGCTGGCTCTTTAAGTTACGGCTCTTACTGGCTCTTTAAGTTGAACAGTCCGTGAACAGATAGAAGCACAAACAAGAAAAACAAGGACCGTTCTTAAAAACGAAAACAATTGCGAGAATCATGATCAGTTTTCATTCAACAATAAAAGAACTACAGCACTGTACATAAACAAAGAGCGTTTGAAAATGCACTCCTTGCGCTTGCTTCAAATAAATGAGTGAGGTTTGCTAATCATCTCTATCTCTCTTTTTCTCACGCACATTACCCACCTTCTCCCAACTATCGCTTGAACAATATCTCGGCAACAAACCAATCATGAGACGTTCGATCCTTGCTAGGGGTCCTCTAAGTTGGATTTGCTCTTGACCCAGGTCGTCGTCGGCAATGAGGGCATCCTCAGTGAGTGCCATGTTGCACACAATTCCTGTGACGAGACAGAGTTCCTTTAATGACCCGGATGATTGGAAAGGCTGTCTGTCTTGAAGAATGCTGACAAATACGTCCACATGTGACACGACAAAGTGTAAAACCTGCAGGGAAATAAACAGCTTAATTTTGCATCAGGAAATGAAACGACAGACAACCTCTACCACGTCTTCCACTTTGAGAGGCAAAAAATGAAAAACAATATTTTATGCAAGCTGCTGTAACTTTGACGCAAAATAATCTTGTGTATAATGCATACCAGCCATGCAGTCCGTCTCATGGTGAAGAAGCAACTGTACAGTTTGAAATTTTCTTCAGAGTAAGGCTTATCGACTGGATGTGGCTTACAAGATGCTTGATGCACTTAGAAGAGAAGTGAACAAGCTATTTCTTGGTGATGCTATTCAAAAAATCGCTTTGTAGATGGTAAGTTTGGAACGTGAAAAGCGTCTGGTCTAAGATGATGATTACAAAAATGGCGATGTGGCAATCATGAAAAGACCACAGGTACGAACCGATAAACCATCAATTACCTATTCAACATTTCGAGTTTCCAATTAAAATGTTTATATCTCTGTTGTGGTTCAATGTTATCCTTGGTTCAAATTTTCTTTTCTTTTGTTTTTGGGTATTGTGATGTATGATAATGAGTTTGAAACAAAGGAAAATAACATTTGAACCAAGGATAAAATTGAATCACAACATCTCTACATTACCTTAGAAGCTACTTCTTTGTGATTATGTGACCCCAGGGATGTCAACATTGCCAGTGATACTTTTAAAGCAGGGGTCAATAACTGTCTATATCTCTCTAACACTGTGGGCACGAATGAGTCGTAGAGGACAGCGCTTGTATCGTGATCATGAGCGTAAATGCCACTGGTCATTAGCCTTTGAGCGGTGTCATGTTCAGGTTTGTGATCCAAAAAGGCGCATTCTGCCAGGCGTGATAATAGCCCCGCTTGAAGAAGGACCTTAGCACCATCCGTAGACTGTGCCACTCGGGTTAGTAGGGCCATCTTGGACTCATAGATATACAAAGCCTGGTATGATATCAAGAGAGTTAGTATCATGGGGTCGTTCATTGTGATGAGAAATAGCTCATTATAATTGTGCGTCAAAATTCAGTCAATTCTGATACAGAAAGTCACATTTCAATTGGCTGAGCTCCAAAGGCGATAAGGAAGACTGATCACGCATTAACTTAACCTTATGGATTGTGATACTATAGTGTGACTGTTAGGTCTTCCACAGCTTTGAACATCGAGAATCAACAGGTCACGGTTGTTGAAAACCGACAAAATCACAGCAGAATATCAAACAAGTCGACCTCACTGTCTGAGAGAGTTTAAGTGGATACTAACAGTATGAAGTGTTACATGGATAGCGACTGCACCCTGAGACAGAATCCCAGTGACAATAAGCATTATCACTACAATGACATCCAGGAGCTCATTTATAAGCTGAACTGAATCCACTGTAGGAGTATTACCTTAAGGGGCTCTGGGGATGGGTCCAACATTGATTGCAGCATATGGTCCTCGTGAGCCAAGCCGTCCACCATGTGCTTGAGGTAGCCTTTGAGGTTGAGGTAATTCAACCAACGGTGTTGCCAGTCAACAGCAATTATTGCATCAAGAAGGGAAAACGCTAACATCTGAAACGACACCAACAATAACAAAAGAGATCATCTCAGTAAAAAGAATGGAAGAGAGTCAAGAAATTTTATCCTACCTAACATCTAGAACATTTTCTTTCCTGGCTAGCTATTTAACCGATGTAATTACCCGCCCATCATAACTTAAGCCAGTTGCTCTGGTTGGAAACTAAAAACACATATCACTGAGCGGATGGGCAAGGATGAGACGATATAAAATATGACCTCACCACAATCCCACAGGTTTGAAAATTGTGTGATCCTGTTCTCAATAAATTCAAAATGCTTAAACGGCTTTCCAGTATTGACGCTTAAGTGCGGGTCTAAAAAAGCGCTTGAGCTTGACTCCCCCCAAGTTTTTAAGACGAAAACGCAATTTGTGCGTCATGACTTACCCGGCCAACATCGTGTCCATCACAAGAATCTCTACAGACTGTGTCCATGAATGGTTCACCATAACTAGACAACACTGGTAGAATACTGGTGTCCCATGGCTGGCCGGGATATAAAGATAATACGTTTTTCATGACACCTGCAATGGCCAAATATTTGTTAGTGTCAATTGTGTAACAAAGCGTAAAGAACAACCAAAATACTGCTCGAACTTCTGAAAGTACGAAAAAGGGAAATCGTGGACTCGTCACTCCAACATCCCGCTTATCTCAAGTAGTCAATGTTACTGTCGGGCTTCAATATTTAACCCTTTGACTCTCAGAAATGATAACATGTAACTTCTCCCTACAATATCTTTATATTATCCAGAGAATGGGTCATGAGAATACTCAAACTTATCGGGAGAAGTTTTGATCTAACACCACATTCTCGAAACTACAAGGACATGTGTAGCAGGTAGAGGGGAGAATTCACAATCAGATCATGGAGGTTTAGGGCTTAACAATTACTCACCGAAGGAGAGGAAAATATCCACAACTTACACCGACAGTGAGGTAAATATTTGTTTTAGTATATACCACACAGAAACCAAAACAGTTCATTTCTGTTGATAACGACGCGCAATTTTGTCTCTTTATCTGCTCAGGGGTGAATAGTACCTGTTATTATATACCACACAGGTGAATAGTGCTTTTAGCACGCACTGATTGGCTGGTTCGGAAGTGATTAGCAAGTACCATTCACTTCCGAGCAGCTGAAGAGACAAAATCGCGCGTCGACAATTTAATTTCGGACCACTTTTTGGTTTATCAAAATATAGAAATATATAGAAATTACCTGGTTTTCTTTGGTTTCTGCGTGTTTTATGCTAAAAAATTATTCACCTCAGTGTCGGTGAAAGTGGTGGATATTTACCTTTACTTCAATGAATAATTGTGAATTAATCACGTGCGAACTAGCCACTCAGTGCGCACGAAAAGCTCTATTCACCTATCTGGTCTACTAACAATGCTTATTAAAATCCTCACAATCAATCCTAATAGCAGCTCAAGCTGAAAGAAAGTGTTACCACTGCTGGATATGTCTTGCATCCATCAGCAGTAAGCATTAGGAAAGTCATGCCATGTCCTAATTGGCTAACTCGGATATGATCAACAAGCACTACTTATCTTCGCGCAACTGAAGAGACAAATTGCGTAAGGGTTTTAGTGTATGACAATGTTTTGTTACACTGACAGACATGGTATATAGTTACACAATTATTCACATCAGTGTTGGAGACAGTGATGGATATTTACCTCCGCGAATAACTGCTAGCTATTTGTAAACCTCAAAGTTTTAGACAGCTGAGATAAGGAGAGACCCGCGAAATTACCTCTTTCTTCAGTTGATTCGGGCTCTGGCGCAGTCTGCATGAAGTACAGCAGCGCAGCGTACAGGTTTGCCCTGACCCGCTGCAATCCTCCTCCACACCGCAAGACGGTCTCTATCAAACCCTTTAAGATGGCTACAGATGGACCAACGGGAAGAGAGCTCCCAGCTTGAGGATGAACAGGTCTGCCTGATCCGGTGCTGTCAACACTTGATGTGGATAAGGAGGCTGTGGGAATGGTAGACTGACGTAAATGCGCAAGGAGAGTTAAGATAACCCCGGATACAGGTGATGTCAGTTCAGGCAGAGCATTCTCATCTGCAATCTGAGTCAATCAATGAAAATGTTTTAAATTCATTTCAATAAGGTAAGAAACAGACATTTAGCTAAAAGATAATGATTAATTACTAAAAAATACAGACTCTGACATGTATATCATCTCTCAGTCCTTACAAAAGTATTTCAGCGGATGTCTTTATATTTTCTTACAACTTGAGATCTGGTCTAAAAATTAAATCAGTTAATAATATACCGTATTTCCTCGAATAAGCGCCCTCCCCCGAATAAGCGCCCACACACTCAGCCATAATGTCAAACAAGCACCCCTCTCGAAAAAGCGCCCCCCTCCTTCCTCACTTTCCTACACAGTAGGAATACACGGAAACCTGTCTCTATAGCCACTTTATTTAGAACATTTTAAGCTTCCACTAAAGTATAAACACTAAAGGAGAATAGTTTCTTTTCCGTTCCAGTTATTTTAATCTGTGTCCATGTGCTTACAGAGTTCCTGTGAGTGCGTTATCTTTTCTTTCAATTTTATCCTATTGCTGCGCTAACTTAATAAGCACCCCCCCCCTCCAAATTAAGCGCTCTCCTTCCATAAACAATAGGTGCCCCTCCTTTTAGCCGTAAGAGGAGTACATACCTTAGAGAGTAAATCCTGTAGTACTTCAGATATAATAGTCTGCCTTGTATCTCTTGGTAAGATATCAACAGAACACGAGGCCAGAGTCACTTCTATAACCCGTCTCCAAGCTTCAAATGCTTCCTTCTTGATGTGCAAACTCTCTCGTACCTTGTTCCGCAGCACGACATTATGAAGAATGTCTTTAACTTCCTTTTTTTAAGACAAACACAGCTACAGTTAGTACAATCGAAAAAAAAAAGAAAAGAAAAAGACGTACAGCAGAAGAACTAACCAAAGCGGATTCGTAAACACGTTAAGCGCCGTAATTGACGTTACTATAACGTGAGCAGAGACGAAAATCCTCAAAGAGAAAACGGAGAAAGCTACCGAGTGAAATAAACTGAAAAAATAATAAACTGAAAAGTACTCTGTACCAAGTTTCCAAAGCATAAAGCTGAGTGTGAGGAAAGTAAAAACCTTTGAAAGGACAACACTGACCTGCAACAAGAAGTTTCTCTGTCCAGCTGTAGCAGTGCCCTGTGCGCCAATTATCTCACTCATTAGTAGTTTATGAAGAACGGGAATATTACAGAGCGTCACACCACCATCCTCCGCCTTCTGTTCACAGGAAGCAATGGCCTCCTCAGTGACAGCCATATCAAAATAATTCAACTGTAAGAGTGGAGGCACATCCTGACAGAACTCTACAGACTCAAGAATGGCTAGAAGCTTCCGCCTAGTCTGCGTCTGTCCCATACCAGGATACCCTCCATGGCTGGTGTCAGCTGCGGTAAAATCATCCTCCAACCTCCTTGGAACTACCTCTGGGAAGTGCGTCATACCCATCAACGTCTGAGCTGATGGCTCTCCCATCAAGAGCGTCAGGAGCCTCTGGGTATGTGATCTTTGTCGGCCTTGAGCTGTCATCCTCAGCTCGATGGCAGCAGTCTTCAGAAGCCAGGACTGCTGATTGACGATGGTAAGCATTGGAACAGGAGGCTGTCCTTCGCCCATGTTCATATTTGCAAGATTCCTAAAAGGTAAGTGTTGAAGGTGCTGGTACAGGAAATCATGGCTTGTTCTCAGATAGCGCAGAGTCGGGATTGCAGTATCCTTATTGGCACATAGATTGTAAACAAGCTGATATGCGAGCTCGGTGAATTTTGGAGCGTCTGTAACACACGAAGGGCCACGATGTGTATCCACCTCTCTGTTCAGAATGTCTAGTACTGCGTGGAGACAAGTCTTTGAAGCACCAAGAACACCTGTACCCGAATAAATACATCGTATAAAAAACATATGAAATACATAGAATTTTTACCAGTGGATGATGAGTGACGAATTGATCCTCGCTAGTCACCAGCCTTCCAGATCTCACCGTGAATTAGTTTTCGAAGCCTTACCAGGCTCGATCAATTTTCAACCCTTATGGCGCTCTAGATTTGAACTTACCAGGATCCTGAAGATTGGTCTTGGACACAGGTTTTCTGAGCTCATAGCCCATCAAAAAATGAGCCAGATTGGGCGAAGGGTGTTGAAGAGAATAAAGAACTAATCTCAGAATATTTTGCCTCACAGCGTTGCGAATTTGTGACAATCCAAACGAGTTCTCATCTAAGAATTCTACAAAAGAATGAAAGGACAACAAACATAACTGCTTGGTTTTGGAGATTTCCATAGAAACCAAATTGTAATAGCATACGTCTAGCTAGAGAGGAGCATTAGCTGACGATAGCGAAGTCATAACAAGTTGTTTTCAGCATTGGCTCTCTCGGCTGACGAAGAATTTGGAGATTTGAGTAAATTTAAAATTTAGCTGTCGCAACACTAAAATGAACCATTTGTAACAATTACACCTAAAAATTGTGCACTGCGGTATCAAGGCAAAGGGAATAAATTCCCCACATTTTTGTGATGAAAACTCTTACAGGGGTTCAAAAACCTATGGCCTGTCGACCTTGAAAGCTCCGTCTGGGAGCCAAATAAAACAACTGTTTTAATTGCGTTCTTTTAAAATGAGAGAGAAATAGTTAATTTGACAGAATGAACTCTAACCATTTCTTAGTTCTTGCTCATCTTTGCCAAGATTTTCTTCAGGTTCATTGATATCTAGCTGATCAACAAATCCAATGAGTATTTTCTGAGCGGCAGCCTAGAAGACAACAAAGCAGAAAACAATGAAACCCAAATTAAACTCACGGTTTTTCAAAAACCCTGAATTTGAGCAAAAGGCTGAAATGTTAAGTCTTCCACCGAATGCTTGTCAAGGAAATAGTTTTTGTTTCAATCATTGGACATTAAAAAGTAAAATTGAGCCAAAGGAGTGTGAGATTACATGGTCTCTCCCATAGGAATTCACAAGCAAGTTCATCCGTCTGGATTTCTACAGTTTTCAGTTTTTACATGAGCAGGGCTGTTGGGGTCATATGACTGTTAGAGTTTCTTTGTGATTTTGGGCAAACTTAGTTTGCCGTACCTGATTAGCAGTCAGGAGATTCACCAAGTGTCTCTGAACGGTTATTGACCGGCAGACCAAACACAAAATCTTAACAACAGATAGGCTGAGTTCAGCTCCAGTGTGAAGATGAGAAACAAACCTGCAGTAACCACAAAAAGTTACATCAGCTATGACAGCCTTATCGATGATATATATTATTGTTATATATATATATATATATATTTTTTTTTTTTTCATCATAAAATGACAAAAGCATCTAAAATGAGAGAAGCTTGGTCAAAGTGTCCTTTGTGTCAGAGCGCCTGGACATTTTTGTGAGTCTCAACATCAACTACATTGCACATACAGTTCATGATCCCTTTGGGAAGAATTACATGAGTTTTCCGTTAATTTCCAGTTGCTCTGTGCGAGCGCTTTTTCCCCATACAGGGAGCTTCCGTTATCATAGTGCGTATGTATCAACCTATCGCTATATCTCCATTCCATTCCTGTAGGGTATGTTTCTTTGTGGTAATAAAAAAAAGAGTTACATACAATTTAAGAGACAAGTTCTGAAAGCTTTCAATTTACAACCATGCAATTACAGCCACAAAAGATCTTGTTTAAAGAAAAAAAGACATAATGCTTTGTGAAGTTCCCGTAAATTTAAGTTCTGAAACCAGTCAAAAGAAAAGAAAAAAAAGTAGCAAAGTGGGAACCTTGTTTGCATTCCCCGCCACTAACGCTATATCTCTATTAATTACTAACAATTCTCCAGTCATAAAGAGGAAAATCATTGTACTCATATCAGCACTCACTTCATGATTTTAAGCAGGTAGTCGGGAGAGCCTGTCTGTGGATTAACGCTAAGCAGCAATTCCTCTAAAGGTGAAATCATCACCGTTGACTGTTGTGCTACGCTGCGATATAAGTCCACAAACTTCTCTTGTTTTTCCAAGGAAATTTCAATCATTCTCAGGCAGAGCAATGCCGCTTTTTCCAGATGTTCTCTTCCCTCTGAACAGTTTCAAGAGTTTAATGTTAAGTTGAACTTTATATCTATCAGCACACCAATAAACTACCAGGAGTTGGTGGTAAGGTAAACATAACTGTGAATTCTCTTGTGTGAAAGAGAATTTTTCGGTCTTAGGGGTTAGGGAAGTTAAATTTTTTTTGAAGAAGTTTTATTCAAGCAAAACTGAAGAAAACAAAATGTAAACAGTAAACCTCTGTCCATAAAAAGCAATTCAACTAACTAAAAACCAAAGTAGCCTTGGGATAGCTACAGGGTGATTATGTTTTAAACCACTTTGCCCAGAATATTAAAAGTATAGGTACAGTAACAACATTATTTCAAGTGCAATTTGGTGTTAATAAGAAGGCCCGAGTGAATTTTTCAAAGACAACAAAACTGTGTGAGCCCGTACGGCAAGTGCAATTTGTAGTCTGAGAAAAAATACAGGTACTTATTTACACCAAATTGCATGAGAAATCAACTTGTTACTTTTTCATGATTTACATGAAAAACACATCACAGAAAATCAAGACAGACAAAACTTTGGCAACACGCCCTACTTGTAATTTGCACTTGTGTTACATGGAAAATGCACCCATTTTCAGCCAATCAGATGCGCAAATTTTTTTTCATGTATATTATCAAGGGCCAAACTGCCCTTCACTTCTTATGTTCATGCAGCTTACTTGGTTTCAACATGAAATCATCTACTGAATATTTTGTACACCTACATACCTGATGTAATGGAAAGATATTCAAGTGAAGATGAAGCACCATCAATAACATTCAGCAACTGACAGAAGGAAATCAAACACAGTATTTATCATAGGAACATGATGATGAAGTACTGTTTGTCTCTTAAGTTCTCTTGAGTCATTATACATGTAAATATAAGGACAAAGTATTTAACCCCAGAGCAAATAAAGTAGTACTGTGTTATTGACTTCACAGAGTTCACATGTGCCATACTTAAACCCTAATTTCCACCTTTGAAAATCATTTAAATTTAGGAGTGGCTTGGTTTCCTACATGGAAGTCTGGATTTGGAACAACTCTGTAAGCTGCCTGTCTTACAGCTGTATCATATACCAAGGTGGAGCACATAGTATGGAATGTTACAAAAAAAAAACACACACAAATTCTGAATTGCAAATTATAAGAGATAGCTGAATATACTATTTTGATATAAGTATAACCAGGTGAATGCATGATTCATAAAGTTTGCAAATAATACAGTTCCCCTGATAGCAGAAACATAAATTCTAATAAATAAAGCAGGGTAAAATTTTATCTCAATACATTATAAAACACAAAAAAAAAACTCACCATTTTTAACATTTGTGTGTAATTTAACATGTATGTCATTAGAATGAATCCAGGAGGTTTAGGAACTTTCATCTGCTCTCCTCCCTGAATTTCAACATACTGGTCCACAAAATCATTTGGTTTTGGACTGTAACTTTCCAGTAACTTGAAGAGGATCTGTAGCACAGCACTGGCAACTTTCCACTGTCAACACAAATGGTATCATAAGGGCTAAGGGATACTTCTGGAAAAGTCCTCAGCAGTAAAACACAACTGCGACAGTGAGGAAATTGTAACCCTGGCAACTCTCAGAAACAATGAATGTGTTATTTCTCCCAACAATGGAGATGCAGTACCAAACAATCTGGTCTTCCATTAACCCTTTAATGACCAAGACAGAATTTCTCCTTACAATATCAATACACTATCAACCAGAAAAGAGATATGAATAAAGAAAAATATAAATTTGGGGATAATTAGTTGATCCAATGCTTAGTTCTCTGATCTAATATTGTAAGAATTGTATGATTGACAGTAAGGAGAATTATAAATTTGATCTGGGAGTTAAAGGGTTAAATGAAAAATGCCATCCTTATATTACATCAAATTCTCTGCACTATACTCAAGAGAAAATTATAATTGTGAATAGAGGGGGGAATTTCAATGAGATCCTAAGAGTCGAGGCTATAGACAAAAGTAACACTGACAAGTGTTCAAACAGAACTTATCCTTGGACTCAAATAGAAAATTCACACAAAAGGTGTGGAATTTTCTCTTAACATTTTCTGCTGATAATTTTTAACCAACTTTCCTATATATCAAGTAATTATGCTGATTGCCAGAAATTTAAAGAACTCTGTAAGAATTAGAATGTTTTGGTCATCTTCAAAAGGGAAACAATATTTTTTCGCAAAAGAAGTACGAGCAGCAGTCAAAAAAACTATGTAATTTGCATTGCAGCCCACTTTTGTGGAGCCAAATGATGGTTCCACAGTTGTCTCACTCTGTGATACATGTATCTGTTCTGGAGATTTGAATTTACATGTAATTGCATTTTTTGAAAAGACAGACACAAGACAGTGAAAATTATAATTAACTTCAAACAAAATGCATAGTCACCTTTTCATGGGGATCTTGGTATCCTCGTGAATTGAACTTAAGAAACACCTCATCTCGTAGGAACGCCAGATATGGTTCAAACCCAGGGACTCTGTAGCCTGCTCCCAAGTTTGCTGGTAGTGGAATATCTGTAAGATTTGTCAGCAGCTTCAGGAATGCTCTAGTCTCAGGGTAGGTCTCACTGCGTGCTTCAAGCTCATTCAATTCCACCTGAAAAATCCAAAGAATTTTACAGTATCATCAACAACAAACATCATATTCTATAAAGGGAGTGACTTTCTAAAGAAACTGTGGTGCTGTGTCAGTGGGAGAGTATAACAGGGTAATTTTATATTATCAACTGAGTTGATAGTGTAAATTGGCCTCTGAAAGAGTTAAAAAGCTAACTATTTATGGTGGTCAATTTATGTTCTCAACTCAACTGATAATACCAAATTACCTTATCACATCCTATAACTGTATTACAAAGTTTGTTTGTCATGGCAGAAAGATACAAAAATATATCATTGTCAAACAATGCAAAAATTTCACAACCAACTTCTTGTAGAAGTTACTGTAGCAAGTCGTAGACCTACAGTGCAGGCTAGGAAATAATAAAACATTGTATTCAGAAATATCCCACTGTCATAACAAATATCTACAATGTATAATGGTACATCTACATGTAGTAACTACTAACCTGTATTCCACCTTGCTGTGCAGTTTGGCCAGCTGTTTGGACTGTCTGTAATATCTAAGGTAAAGAAAGTGTTGAAATTATTTTGATATTCTTTTAATAACAGATGGAATGAGAAACATACAAGTAGTAACATTATTTGGTTCAAATGATGAATAGTCTGAGAGAGTTGTTACTCATTTTGACTTAAGTTTGGAATAAAGAAAAATCTGAGTCAACCATGCAGAATCAAATCTCACACCTTCAGATTTTGTAGATTTTGATTGCTAACAAGCAAGGCTATTGACATGTGCACTTCCACATCAGATCCTTCTCTACACTTCTTGACAACTGAGAGGTTGTGCATCAATTATAATGTATTTCTACAGACAGAGGCCAAGTTATCATTGAAGATTGTTTTCCAATAGCTCTATGTACAATTTTTAAACCTCATTTAACTTGCAATTATTGTAGACATTTCACCAACTTACATGCATAAAGATGCATAATGCCTAGCCCTACCTGTGATGATTCTAGGGTATGCCACAAAGAGGAAGCAATTTCAGGAGACTTTGCAAATGCAGCAAGTGTTGAAAGAATCTGTGCCTTTAGCCTTAGAGGTACAGGGCAACCAAGTAGGCCAAACAGGGACGCAATGGGAAGCCACGCTTGACTTTCACACATTGTAAGGCGGGCTATTTCATCCTAAAAACATGGTAATTGCATCTGATTAAAAAGCTCGAAAAGTTTTCTAACATTTCAATGAACTGTAGATCAATTTTGATTTTTCTGTTGCAAATCACCCTGCACATTTCATGAAGAATGTGTGTGATATCTTCAGAGATAAAAATTAATTCCAGTATGGTATTTGACAGATTTCTTGATTCTGCTTTTAGATTTCTATAAGAGAACTGACAATACGTGTAGTATAAAAAGTGACCAGACTTTTGACAAGTACTAACAATCTATTTCTTCAAAATCACCTGATCAGCAATTCTCTCTGTAAGTTTTAACACTGCCTCCAGCCCTTCCAATTCCTCAGGTGTTATGTTACGGTTTGTTGGGCGTGGTCTGTGAACCTGACCTGTTTCTCGTTGCAAGCCACCATACATCATCACTAAGAGACATTGGCACAATAAAAAAAATTATTAAAAGAATTATAAAAAAGACTCTGCAAGAAACAGGGAAATAAAAAAGAAATATGCTATGAATTGGAGATGGCTTTTAAGCTTACATATTATGTACATTGCATTGTGAACCAAAAATATGCACATCATCCAAGAACAACTACTGCACAAGTCTATAGCCATTAACTTTATCAGGAGATCACCATGAAAAAAGCAAGGATTTTTTTTCAACCAAGATTTGGTTTGATCATAAAACAAACAAAAACAAATCCTTCAATGGTGAAGTGAATACCTGTGTTGGCTCTGTACTGATGAAAAGAGACAGGGAAAAAAAATCAGATATCAAAGTATCACCTGTGTTTGCACCATCCTGTCTTAGATCCATGTAATACTGTTTAACAGAAGCAAAGAAGTGATCCCAAGACAGAGGACCATTTGCTGTGGATTTGAGCAAGTTGAAGCAGTGATGAGCAGCCTGAGGGCTGTTTGAGAGACCACACAGCATTTCAATGTATGGGACAAAAAGTGGAGCAGGCAATAAATCTCCAGCCAGCCGCACAAACTTGTAGAGGCTCACCTGAAAAAGGAGAGAAAATATTGAAATTAAGTTCATAAAAAGGAATTTATGTTGACTACTTATACATGGAATATTTGGTTATGGTTTTTGTGGAGCAATTGAAGATTTCTTGTACAAGAATAGATCATGCTTTCCTATATTGTTTTGGAAAACAAATCTAAAGTGATAAAAAGACATACAGGTGGCAAAGTAAATGGAACCCTGGGTTGCTGAATGGAAGTTTTGAAAATTCAATTCATTTGAGACAAACATTAGGTAAAGAGAAGGTCACAGGGACTAACATGTGCTTTGTCAAAAGTTTTGCCAAATCAGAAAGTAAAGAGGGAAAATTCTGATAACAAAAGGAAATCTAAACTTACAGTAGAAAACAAAGCTCACAATTGCAGCCTGTCCTGTATAGGGAAATTTACCACATAAATCCGAGCTCTAGCTTCTCCTTGAGAAGTTTCTCCTTGAGAAGATCAAAGTTACTTAATATGTTATGTACACGTACAAGTTCCAACAAATAAATGAAATTTATCATTCCCTTACTTGCTTCTGTGATGCATGAGGTCTAAAGCTTGGTGAAATTCTTGATGAGTCATAAGGTGAAAATGGTGTGAAAGAGCTTGCATCCAAAGGACACCAGAAATCTACAGCCAGTTCAAGGCCAAGTGAATCATTCTCATAAAGTTCTCCAATCTGTGGACATTGGAGAAGAAAATTACTTTAAACATGCTAATTAAAAGAAATTGTGCACACAAGTTCAGTGTGGTAGCTAAGTTGAAAAGTTATTCACAAAAAAATAAGATCACACAAATAATTAAATTCATACCCAAAGCTACATGTATGTATTCAGGGTTTTCTTTAAGGTTTTAAGTAGCCGGAGCCTTTTTTAAAGGTAAACAGTATTCACATCTCGAAATCCAATATGGCAGACAAAATGTCACCTTTGTACTTTCCTGCCACAGCAGCAAGATTTGTCCAAAAGAAAGTCCCCATCAGAACGTTTTTGAACTAACCTTGATCCAGAAGTCTTTTTATGTTTTCAGAAAAGATAGGCAGAGCCAATTAATATTTTCATTGAGCCCAAGTTTAGACTAGAAAAACATCATCTCTGTACGAGTTCTCGAAGGTAGTAGCCGGCAAAAGCTTGCAGAGAAGCTGGCATCTTTCACCGGCTTCCAGCTCTTATTTACAACCCTGATGTATTATAGACCATGTCCAAAGTCAAATAGCCTGAACATTTACCAACCAAGACATGGTGGAGGTTAGTGAAAAAAACCAGAAACAAAGAGGCAAAATGGTCCTAAATTATACAAATTTAGTTTTGGGGCTCCAGCAGGGTGCATGTCATAAGTTTGAGCTAACTTGGAGTCGAGTTACATGGTACAACTTTGTCGCATGCCACAAGCTTGCAACAGGCCTACAACTCATCTTAGGACCATAAACATGTGCAAAATATTTTCACCTGGGACATGGCAAAATCACATACAATTCCACTCCCTCTTAAAATAGTCTTTACACCGGTTATTGAAAAGGACTTCTTCACCACACAAAGGAATTAACTTCTTTATCTCCTCTTCTGAAAAAGGTATCAACCAACCAACAACAACAGCTTTGTCTGCCATTTTTCCAAAAGAAAACTTTACTTTTCTCTCTCTACACAGTGGAAATTTGTCACAAAAAATGGCATTTTCATTGATTTTGGCTACAATTGTCTCAGTGATTTAAAACATGTTTTCAAATCCTACAACAATTTTTGAGATGTATACCACAGTTGTAGGCAAGTTGTAAGTTTGATTTACATGAAACAATTCATGTCATAGGCCTATTACACGCTTGTTGCATGCGACAAAGTTCTGGCGTGAAAATTGGCCCTTAGTGACTTGACTGAAGGATCCAACTAAACTGATTGATAAAGTTTGAGTTTCAATGCTTAAAGTTGAGTGAGCACTGACCATTCTCATCAAATCTTCAAAGTGTCTCAGCAAACCAGCAGGGGGCTCCACACCATCTTGCAAGTGAGCCTGAAGAATACGTGCCACTTCATCACCATGGTTGCGAAGTTCTTTAACCTACAATGAAACACACGTGGTTTTATGGATTTCAAAAGTATACAATTTAAGAAATTACATACATAGTAGAGATATCTTTCATCAGATGCTTTGATATGTAATACCATGGGGCATTTAACAACAATGAACAACAAGTTGAAATACAAAAAAAAGGTAAACTGAAATACCATAAACATCCATGTACAAGCCGCACCCCCAATTTGGAAGCACAGAATTTGAAAAAAAATAAAAACAATACAGTTTGAAGTTTCAGTAGAGTTGTATTGCTACAAACAATCAAGGTTCCGAAACACTGACATAGAAGTTGTGGCTATCTTTCACATTTATTAAGTCTAAAGAGAGCGAAATTTCATTTGTTGTACCTTCTTTTTCATTGGAATTTACACCACCTTTAACTTAAAATGCTCTTTCAATCTGATTTTTCAAGATTATCACTTCGAAACCCACCATAAAGTTGAAATTCCTTCAGCACCAAAAAAAAAAAACAAACATTACTTAGTAGCCAAACTTTAAATGTTGGGAGGAGTCTGGGCCAGGACCTGGCCATCGTCTGGCCATAAACAGAAAGCACAATGTGGTGGAAGAAGAACAGGAGCCTGATAATGCAGTCAACAAATTTGCCATGAAGGTAGTAAAAAACAACGAGAGATTCCTTGTATGTTGGTGTTTAGTTGTTCGAGTAAAGCAAAAATTAATTGCTTGAAAGAACTCTTGGAGAGCAAGATTCACCGATAAACGCTTGAAGACACAAACAGCTCCTTTAGGAGCCACCGATCTAATGAACTACAGCAACACGCTCTCAGTTTCTTAAATTTCTTGGCATCTTAAGAAGTTTTATGAACATTAATGAGGTTTTTGAGCACTCCAAACACAAATGTATCCATGGATAAGCCGCACCCTTGATTTTTGGCTTCAATTTTGTGAAAAAAAGTGCAGCTTATATATGGACGTTTATGGTATATTAAATCTCAACATAATGGTTTGACAAAATAAGAAAATACCTTTAAAGGCATCTTAACAATAAATCCAGTCACAAGTGAGTGTAAGCGTTGGACAAAGTATTCCTGCAGAGTAAAGTCACATTGTTAGCACCAGGGCACAGATTAATGTTCTTTTAAGCTATGATTCATCAACACCCTGAGAAATTGTCCTGAACAAGTTAGAATCTAGTGCAGAAAACTGGATCTTCAACACCACTTGTCCATGTGACAAAATCAGTTCTGAAAACTGAAAAACAAAAGAACATTTTGAAGTAAAATAAATTATTGGTTTAAATTGTCTTTTAAAGAAACTGACAAATGTAGCCCTGTAGATAAGTTGCAATTTAGTGATTTCAACAGTTTCATATTCAGTGCACAAGCCAAGATGCAAATCAACTTTTTCATCTCAATCTTTATGTACTTTCGATATAATGGGCTCAAAAAGAAATAATGGCATACCTCCTGGTGAAAATTGGTGGCTCGTACCACAGAGTGCCGAAGGAAACTCAAAACGTTTTCTTGCACTGCCAGATCTAACTCCTCTTCATCTTTCTCCAGTACCTCTACTGCTCCAACAATATTAGGCCACTGGCTGCAGGTTCGTAGTACCAGAGCCCAAGCAAAACGGACACATGCACACATCCCTTGGTTTTCCCATGTTCCCTGCTGTTTGATTTCCAGATGAAACTCTGGAATAAAGCTGTGGTCCGTCAACAAAGGGAACATTTCCTCTGTAAGAAAAAAAAAAGAGAAAAGAACGTACAATATAGACTCCTACCATGACCAGAAAATGTTGCATTTCACTCTTACACCTGACTCCCAGAAGTGACTCAAATGCAACTTCTCCTTACCATTCCAATCAGTTATCTCATAAACAGGTAATGAGAGAAGACAATCTTATCAGTTAGAGGGTGTTATTTTGGTCTATGACCATATCCTCATGTTTATTTTACAAGGAAAAGATTAGTAGTATGTAGTGAGAATTATTGAGTGAATCTTGGGAATTAAAAGGTTAAATGTATATCTATAGCATAATCATTCCACCCTCAGGACCCAATTTCACAATACAAATTTGCAATATATGGAAATCAATTATGATTCAAAAGAAAACCATCTTAGTTAAACAAAAAAAACTACAATATTAATCAAACTGACACCTTAGCGGAGAGTTTCAGTTAAGAGACAAATAGAAACAGACAGTTTTATCTTTTTTCAGTGTTGATAATGAACTTGAGAAAACTTTTCTTTTCTCATGACATTAGAAGAAAAACAATACCCATGACTAATCCAGAACAACACCTAAAATAAACTTGACAGAGCCAAACAATAATTTATGCATCAAGTGTAAAATTCTGCTTAAGTTTTTCAAGTTCATTAGTTCCAATCCAAAACAATATTCATCTTCCTTTCCTGGTTTTCATTCCAGTAATAATTAAAGCCCATGCTCCTTAGAGACACAAATGATTCAAAATATCATGATGTACATTTAGCTTCATAAAGCTTGTGTTACAAGACATAATACATGATCAAACCTTGAAAAGACCCTTGCACGTCTGCTGCTTCATCCAGAGGATCAACATTTAAACAGTACAACATGGCCATCAACAGAGTTAGAGTGACACTGTCAAGTGAGCCATCCGCATCTGTAGAGGGACATTTCTTGAGAAAAGACAACAGTTGTAGGCAGTCACTTTTTGGTAGCGGTGATTGGCAAGCAAAGCAAAAGAGACATTCAGCCAAGAGTTGTCTTTGATCTGTGATAAAGTCAATAAGTTGTTGTTTGTGACGTTCATCACCTATGGCTTGTCCTCTCTCCAACTTGTCAAGTTCATTTTGAACGTCAAGATGCTCAAGTTGGTGAAGAATTGTTCTAACCAATCCTGAAATAACAAGCAAGCACAGTACACTGAACATCAAGATTCCTGTTGCCACGTGTCTTGTTAACAATTACTGTAGATTCCATGATGTCATGTGTCTTTTAACCCTTTAACCCCTAGGAGTGACTAGCCTCTAATTTCTCCTTAAAATATCACCACTGAATCACACATTCATGTCATGAGAATATAGGAAATGATCACCAACTAAAGAAACTCTTGATTGTTAGTCAAATTCTCCTAGTCATCACCTTAGTAGATGTACAGAAAACAATATGGAGAATATGAATTCTGATGTTAAGGTGTAAAGGGTTAAAAAATAGATTCTGTGTCACCATGCATCTGTTCAGTAAGGGTTCACAAATCACACCAAAATGTGGTTAAAACAAAACAGCTCACAAACCACAGCCCAGTGTGTCTCTGCTAACGTTCTCACCACATACCCATGTCTCCTGTGATGTGTTACTGAACAGACATATGGCAACATAGTCTATTTGTTTTACCTACATGTGATAAAGAAACAAAATTTTGTGACTGCAATGTGATCTATGAGTCTGTCCTCCAAAAGATTATAAATAAGAAACAAATCAAAATGTAGGTATAGTTTGGCTTTTGTTGAAAAAAGTGACAGCCTAACAGAAGTTATTAAATAAAGATATATAAGTAGAAATAAGTAGCAACCTCGTAATCTAGCTTACTTCATTTCCTTCCCTCTCTTAAAAATGTTTTTCAGTAAGCAGTACCACAAACAGTTGTTGAACTTAATATGACACATATTTTGCCCATTTCTATAAAAACACCCATTACCTTCTTTCAAAAGTTCATCAGTGAATGTCGTTACTAACTGTGTCATCTCTTCATAGAGGCCCAACGTCCATGTTATTCCCTCTCTAGACTGTATCAATGTTCTTAAGGCACTAATTAAACATCTCCTCCCATCATGGTACAAGAGCACTGCCACCAAACCTCTGGTTAGGCCAGGAAAGTTGGGTTGCTGCTGTTCACCAGCAAGAAGTAACTCAACACACACAAACTCATTCAGTTCAAGACTGTCACTAAGAATGAGGGCCTCCTTGACAAACTGCTCAGGAAGCTTCTGTTTCTCTGTAAAGCCAGCAAGTTGAAGACCATTTGTGGGGGCTCTCTTCAATTGCTCTCGGTGGTCTGTATTTTTTGCCTACAAATTAAAAGAAAGAAAAGGGAACTCATTTTGATATGAAACACTAGAAATAAGTGGAGTAAATTTTAAAATTGGGCTTAATCAGTTTCAAATTTTTGGTTTTGTTTGTTTGTTCATATGTTAGTTTGTCTTTTTGAGGGGAGGGGGGAGGAGGACTTACTGTAACAGTATTTACAGATTCTCCCTCAAATTTCAATTTTACATCCTCCAATTACCACTCTAAGAACTCAGAGAGAATAAGAGTAAGTTGAGTCAAGGGATACCACAATTTCAGAAACATTATAAAGTTTCCAAGACAGGTGGTCAAGTGTTACAAATCAGATACTTATAAGATTTACAGTGCATCTCAGCAGGATTCTAGGTAGTAATGTGCCGATCAATTTGAAGCTTCAACATCCCTGCCCTGAGAAGCCCATGGGCACTTTGGGTGAACCAATCTTTAAAAGTCCACATGCTCCCTCGGGGGAAGGGGATATGTGGAAGCTTCGAATTGACTGACGCATATCTTTGCGGTGAGCAGACGTCATGCCTAACTTCTGAGATCTTCAGATACGGTTGATACCTCTCATATCTAGTTTCTATCCTTTTGTTTGAAGCTTTCTGAACTTTTTGTACACAGTACAGTCGTAAGTGTGATGATCTGACTTAAATTCGAACGAAGATCAGATCAGACCGGAAAACGAAGAGCTGGAAAAAAAACCCAACAACAATTAAAAAATCAAATTTTCAGATTATCATGGGGCACATTACATCATTGTAACGCTATCTGAAAGAAAAGAATCATGATCAGTAATTTGACGTACCGGATTTTTAAGCAAAGTGATAAAATCTGGATTGAATTTATCCAATGCAACCTCTAGTTCATGAAAAACTTCTGGAGTTTTCTTGTACAAAGCAGCTCGTTCTACCGTCGCAAGAAGTTCCTTGTACGGCCTCCATGTTCCTATAGAAGTGAGTAAAAGCATTAAATCATGGCGCTCCAACATGACAATAACACTAATTTAAATCTTTACCTCCTCTAGCTGCCGCCATCTTAATTGAGCGCGCAAAGCGTGCACGCTTAGTAACCGAGCTTGACCGTTACTTGCCGAAAAAACTGAGTTCCAGCTCAGGTACCTGGCCAGTCTGTCAGCCTTAATCACATGAGGATAATAAGAGAATTTCATTGGATAACAACGGAGGTTAAGTGACGAGCCGAATCCCCGCGTAAAATTGAACGCGCCAAAAATTCACAACCGCTTTATAACGCGGTTTCGTTGCGCCAGGGGAGAAAGGAGAGGTGATATTTCAGTTAGTTTAGCTTCTCGCAGCTCCTTAAGTGAAATTGGTCCATATGAGCCTTCAACAACGCTGCAGTGTCTTGTTCCCAAGGAAAAACTGACGGATTCTTAAATCAAGTGGTAAGTTACACACTGTAGTAACGTGATCATCTACTCCGAGCGTAGCGCCTCGCGCCTCTTGAAATTTGTAGCTAATAAGCACTTCAATTTGCTACATTTTCCTCAACACAGGCGTATCATCCTTTCCTGATCTAACTCTTGTTGGATTTTTTTCAGAAGTATCTTGTGATTAGCTTATCTTTTCCACACTAGAAATGAAATCGTACGAAAATCTGAGACAACCTTTCAGTACGATCAAGAGCTAGTGGACGCGCTAAACTGAAACTCTGTCATTAGCATGTAATAATGTGTAAATAGTTTTGTATACTCAAACTACGTCTCATTCGTTGCTAGGACTTTTCAAATGATTTTCTTTCGATTCGACCTATTTCAGGAATATTATGGAATCTAAAACAGTTACGCAGACTTTCGTCGCTTCGGATGTAGGCGATCATTCAAACACAGATTATATAGCGAGCGACAATGATGAGACTGAAAGTGTTTGTGTTAGTTCATCGCATTCGATTCCTTTACGTCGATATCCCTCGCTGGCAGAGCTTTCCTCTATAGCCACAAACTGTGAAGGAACTAATATAACTACTGTCGATTTATCGATGGAGGAGAAGAAACTAATGCTAGCTCCCAACACCGAAGATTGTAAAATTCAAACTTCAAATCAGCTGAATAGTATCTGGAACCGAGGGCCGCCAGTCACACCACCAAAGGTTGCCGAAGCAGGCAAAAACTCGTCAAATCAATGTGGAGACGATCCCTTAACTCCGACTGCTAACCTTAAAATGCTCGTCAGTGCTGCTAGTCCAGCAATCCGCGATCGGGAAACCAGGAAGAGAGAATTATTTCCAGGTGAAAGTTTTAACACCTTTGAGACGCTCCACTCAGCGGCGAGTGTGCTAATTTCAAACTCAGGACAGTCTGATGCACTTAGAAGTGAGCGGGATTTGAGTGATGAATCTTCTCATGTTGTATATGGAGAAAACAAGATAACCATCAGCCGGAAAGACAAGTCGCTGGGGCTTCTGTGTCAGAAGTAAGTTAAATTCTCAAATGGGCGCGTTGTATCATGATCGACCGTTTAGCGCCAAATTTGGTTAAACGTGGCAATGTTTGAATTCGTAATGAAAGGTGAAGCAAGGTTGATTACGCGCCAAAAGGCGACTGTCCTTCGTTTGATTGCGATAATAATATTAATCGATTATTTTTACTTCGATAAAGTAAGAACACGACAGCTATTTCTTGCCAACTCTCTTAAGTAGTAACTGAAGTCACGTTTCGTAGAATGGCAAAGTTAGTCCATGGATGTCATGTCTGTGATCTTAAAATCTGTATACGTTTTTGGTTGAAATGGTTGTTTTTACACAGGTGTATAATTACTTCTCAAACACGTTGAGTGTGATTGCATAATTTTTTTATTTTTGTTCTCTTTGGTGGTAAAACATAAACGATGTTGTCCTTTTCTCAACAGGTTTTTGTCCAAATATCCAGAATACCCAAAAGCTAACGAGTTTATTGAGATTGGCCTTGATGATGTGGCAAAGGACCTTAGTAAGAAAAATATGTTTATTCTGGAGATACATAACAATTTAAGTTGTACAGTTAGAGGAAACCAGGACGTACCTGGAAATTTGGTTGAGCATCGCCTTGTGTTGGTTTGTGTTGGTGTAGCCACAGTAGACATAGTTAACTTTTCATGAAAAACACAAACTCTCTCCAAATTTTAAACTAGAGGCAGAAGTAGTCTAGACCTTACATAATTATTCTCAATGCTGGTCTCTGCCATTACCTGAATTTATAGAGAATTATGTTTAGACTAAGGAAGGATTCTTAACATAATACCTTATTTAATTAAACCCCTAGGCAAAATAAACTCTGTTCAATTCCAATCTTCATGTTTTTCCAGTAAAGGTTATTTTTCAGTGAGAGATTCTCAGCTAGAAAAATTAATTAGGAGGTAGTGCAACTATCTAATAAAAAAAAGAAAATCCTAAAGCTAGAGCAGAATGGACTTTTAATTTCTTCCCTATATTTATTTCACAGGTGTGGAAAGGAGGCGAATCTATGACATTGTCAATGTTTTGGAAAGTGTAGAAGTTATTAGCCGATATGCAAAGAACAGATATGTCTGGCATGGAAAATCAAGACTTCCCTCTACTCTAATAAAGCTTAAGGTAAAAATTAAAGGAACTTCTGACACATACATGTACACACCAACATACATGTTTTTGTTGCTTTCATTCTGATGGTTTTTTTTTTTTTGGAGTATTTGAGATTTCCAAAATTGAGATGTTGACAGCATTAGGTGATGCCAAGGAAGGCTGCAGTGTAAATGCACTGTATATGCCAATTCATTTTATATGAGATTTATACTGCTATCAATACACTTATTCAAACCAGAATTCTACCATTCTAGTATGTACTTAATTCAAGTTCTTCTGAACTAAACTGAGGTAACACAAAAGTTTTTCATGAGAAACATAGTAGCAAGAGAAAACAGAAAAGTAACAGAAGTTCTTGTCTGAATCAAAAATTTCTTTGGTTGTCAAAATTTAGAAAATTGAGCAAAGTGATCTGTGAATTTTCTGATCACTATTTTAGCAATTCAAAACATTTTAAACTTTGCTATATTCACAATAGGTTGAGTCCTAATCATCTTTTTTCAATCAAACTGTGATGAGATTTTTGAGATGTACAAGAAGCAAGCATGTTTTCAGTCTTGTAATTTTTACTCATTCTTTTTTTTTTCTTATCTTGTTTAAAACAGCACTATGCCGTATCAAAAGGGCTGAAATTGAAGCCCTCATTTCCAGGAAAGGAACATCTAAAATCAAAAGACACTAAAAAGGAAAAGGTAATCAAGATAAATGAAATGCAAAATTATCTCTTTTTTTGCTACACTAGTAAAATTTGGGATCTGCAACTAGGATTGCCTGCTGCAGATGACAAGTTTTGTCAAATTGATTGTGAGAAGTATTTTGAACTTGGCAAAAAGGTTTAATCTTGCATTTACATTGTACAGCATCCCCTTGCATGCCTGAGCAACTCATTATTGAGTGCTACAAAATTTCCTGTTCTCAAACTAAAGAGAAGAAATCTTGGAACAGGCAATTCCTGACAGGGTCAAGTGAAACATCAGTTTTCTACTTTTTCTCCACATTATGTATCCAGTGAATCTAAAACATTTTTTAATTTGTTTTCTTAGAGTAAAGTTCCAGTTACATCAGCATTGTCCAGCCAGTTACCTTTAATCCTCCCAAAGAATTCTAGTCTTGTGTCCCTTGTTCAAGCTTTAAAACCTCATGTGTCCCAAATGAACAACAACCTCATGCCACCACCTGCCACTGTGAAAGACAGTACAGCAGAAGAAAAAGCTGGTAAAAATCTGAAATTTAGAGGTTTGTATGATTCTTTTGATCTTTTTTAATATCCCAGATGTAATTGTTGGTTTCTCAGTTGTTGTTAGTTTATACCCTGTTATCATTCCTTTATAGGCTTCATTTTAATTTATCCCAACACAGATTTGGATTAAAAGTTACCACATTTCAAATTTTTAACATCAGCAACAGTAGGACTCCATAGTAATTGAAAACTTATTTGAGATCAATATTTCAAACATCAATTCTTGCTAACATGCATTGTCATTTATTTGTCATTTTTTTATAAAGATAATGAATACTGCAGAAAAGACAAGTCATTGGGAGTTCTCAGTCAAAAGTTTTTGATGATGTTTCTCGTCTCTGAGGTATGCACAATGCATATGTTGAATGCCACCTTCACACCATTAAAGCATGTTTAGTTAAACCAGGTTTACTTTCACCTGAATGAAATCTAGCTACAGAAAATGAACAAATTGAATTTTACAATGGATTCAAGTAATCAATAGATTTTAATTTCATTTCACTAAATTTTAAGTTGCCAAACACAGCTGTAAGCAACATCTTTGAGGAAACCAATTTTCAACCATGTCTAACAAAACAGGTGTGAAACATGTTTTAGCTTTTATATGAATGGTATTTAAGTCAAATACTTCTCTAGATTGAACTTTAAGGGCCAGCTATTTAAACAAAGTTTAGCCATTGTTTAACAAAACCCTGCCCAGAACAATCCTCAATTTAGCTGGACCTTTTATCAGAACATTTATTTTTGTGAACAGTGTCAAGAAGGCCAAAAGCTAGCAGTATAAGGACATTTATTTAATTGAATCAACCCTCAATTGTGTAAATCAGTGGTTTGGTTAGACCTCGTGCAAATAACCAGCCCTAACTGTTCCTCACATGTTTTAACTCAATATATTTGATTATGCTAGACAAGACATGTGACCCTAGAGGATGCTGCAAATGTACTGATTGGTGAGGAGGAAGAAGGCCAAACAAAGTATAAAAGTAGGCATGAATACAATAACAATAAATTGCATAATTATATATGCACTGATAAGGTGAACACAGCTGGGAGAAAAATGTAACAGACCAGTAACTGTAAGAAAAGAATTTTAGAAGGAAAAAAGGAAAAATTGACATGCCAGTACTTAAAAAAGATAGAAAAAAATTTTCTGACTAACAAGACCAAGCTTTTCTGTGTTGAAAATATGATGTATAACAATGAAAATCTGAGGCAGGATTTAGACACGCAATTACTGTGATACTGTTGGCAATCTTTCAATGACACAATCATTCTCTTTCAGCTAAAGTCAGACGACTGTATGACATT